GCGGCGGTGTGTAGTAGTGGCGGTCGTTTTTTTTTTTTTTTTTTTTTTTATCACGTTAAAATATACATTGCAGCAAAGGACGCGGGATCGTTCGATCCAGTTACGATTTCGGAAATTCATTTTCGCATGGCTGCTATTCGTATTTGTATACTTATAGTTTGTATGCAAATATAAATGTGAAAATGAGAATCATCGACTCGAATAACCTCTAGGAATCACTGCTCGTCCAATCATCGGACGATTTTTTTTTATTTCCGATTCTGTAAGTTAATAAACAATCGAGTAAAAAATGTTTTCAATAACCGAAAAATTCACTAGAGCTGTCAGTAAGCCTATGCCACTATTAAAATAGACCAAAAAAAATAATGACGCGCACATTTATTGCTCATTCGGTGGACACGAGGAGACACTTTCTTATTTCGAGGCCGGGGTAACTAGCAAATCCAAGGTGTACCAGGGCTATTAAAACAGATTTATTAACTTTGTTTCAATTAAATATTTTTAAGTTTTTTTTTTTTTTTTTTTAATAATTACTAGAGTTTTGCGCTATAATTTTTCTATTTCACTGTATTTTTTTGCAACTGAAATTCAAAAATCTAGATTAATATGTTTTTTAATTTAATTTGTATTAATTAGTTTTAGGTATTTATAACTACACATTTTAGTTATGTCAGTACTTTTTAATCAATTTTTAAAATGTATAAAAATTAAATTTATTTCTTATTAATTTTAATAACGATTAAATTATTGTGATAAGAATATTCAACATAAGTGAAATTGTTGATATCAATATTTTTCTAAAAAATCGTATTTTCAAATTCCTTAACATTGAAATTCAGCTAAATATTGTTTAAATTATAAGTCCAGCATGTAATAATAATAATAAAAACTTTAAAAATATTTAACAGAAAATTTGTATTACATTAATATACTCATATACTAAATATAAAGCATAATGACTTTTTATTTTCGATTAAAAATTCTTATGGTGGTTTTTTTTTTTTACAAATCGTTAGCAATTATTAATGTTTATATTTTCTAGGTTTAACAATTAAAAACAAATTAATTTTAATTTTTAAAGTTTAATGAGTTTTAATTTTTGTCAACAAATTATGCAAGTGTAAGCGTACGATTTGTTTTTATTTTGTTTTTTTTAAATTGGAAACTTTTTACGGGATGAATTAGATTTTGATTTCGTTATCAAAAACTACAATCATATTTAGAAGATACAAATAAAATGGTGAAAATAGGTCATGTTCAATTTGTAATAATACGAATTACAAATATTTTATCGTTTAAAATAATCCCATTGGAAGTATAGAACAAATCGTTGAAGTAACAAAAAAAAACAAAAAAAACCTATTGAATTAAGTAAAATATTCTGTAAAGAGTAATTTTAAGGAAGAGAAGCCTTATGGCTTATATACAATATGATTTGCTCGTGCCACAGAATTTCGGTAAAATTTAATTTTATAGCAAATCGATATCATTTTCGTCGGCATCAAAAATTCATTATCGTTAAAGAAAAATCATTAAAATTCCGTTCGTGTGTGCATATTGTATACATTCGGGTTCGGATGGGTGACATTCAACGCTATAGTCACAATCGCGCAATAATTATTATTATTCAAAAAACTAATAGTGTTTATTGTACGCAGTGTACTAATATGTTGATATCAAAATAGAAAAAAAAAAAAATATTATGTCTCAAATCTCGTAGCCTGCCATAGATCGCTCGTCAATAACACACAGCATATTATACACGCACAAAGGATAATTGTTCTGTTGTTATCTTTGTAACTAAATGACCCGTATCATTCAATCGTCTTTATGCTACCGATTTTTTTTTTTTTTTTTATTCTTATCTTAGATGCCGTGAGATATCCGGAGAGAGGTAAAGGAACTCGTTTTTAGGCGGAAGAGTTATCGCTCGTCTACCCGACTCCAACTTTCAAAGATAATTTAAAGCCCACTGTAAGAATCAACAAAATAAAATCAATTTCCGTATTATACGAACCAAGTTCGAGCGCGAGCTCTCCGCCCCTACGTCGAATTCTCCCCGAAAAACAGACACGAAACTATTGAATTCGTTGTAATGCTCAATTACTCTACAATACAATCAACAATGCGAAAACTGTGTTTAGTGTCGTGTTTATGCTTAGAGCCGGGCTATTTATAAAGCAGGCTGAAATAAGTCGTAAAAAATGAGCAAACCCGAATTATTTAAATATTTAATTCCAACGGTGTTAAAAAACGGTTTGTCGGTGACCGTGAACAAATTTGGTCTTTGATTTGTCGACGTTAGCTTTTATAGTATTTATCAATTTCAAAATAGGATTATATTGTAATAAGTGCATTGCCGAAACCATTTATTTTTTCGTCGTTCTCTGATAACCCGAAGTAAACCGGTGAATCGATTAAAATCTGTTGAATTTATAAAAACGCCGATGGTTTCTACCGATACTATGATATTTTATTGTAATATTCACCAGGATATCTAAGTTCAAATATTGTTCGATACATGATTTTAATAGGCTTTTATAGGTTTTAAAATGTATACCGAGTCACAATTGAGCCCATCACCGTGTTAGTTGTCATGGCGCGATTAGAGAACCTCCGAGATCGTTAATGTCCCCAATGTAAACCTAAAACCATAGTGGTTGCAAACCACGTCGAGTGCAAAAAAAATTACGGGTAAAAGGCAAAGGTAACGTTGGATAGGACCTATTTTGAAGTAGAAAAGTCGATAATCTTTTCAATTTGTCGGTATTAAATTCGTTACTAAATTCAAATTCAAAAAAACCATTCTAGGATAACAGTGACGGGTGCCGCCACTGTTATAGGTATTTTTTTATGTAAACCCGTAAGCAACTATAAACCATTTCTTACAAAAAAAACGATTCTGAGCGGAGTTCAGTTGATAATGACGCATTGTCAACAATATATATGCCATATTAGAGTAAAACAATTAAAGGGCTTTATATATTCTCTTTAAAAATAATTGTTTAATGTTACACTGATTTTTCCGGTTTTCCTATGTTTTTTTTTCAGTTTTTCACATTTACCAAGAAAACCCCGTAAAAAATCGAAACAGTTACCACTGTAAGGTATCTTTCCGCGCCGATTTCATTTCAGAAAAGTTGCTACACGTAAAAATCGGCGCACGTCCCCGAGTAGAAAAAAAAAAATAGTTAAGTAATTAAACACCGTTGTACGACCGCGAGCTCCTTCGCTCCTTCGGTTTCCCGTCACACAGGACGCAATGACAATGCGCACACGGCCGTCACCGCGATCCGACCGGTGACGAAAAATCGTAAACGCTCGGCGGGCACGGCACGATTGGCGGGTGACGGCCGTAGTAAGAAAGGGAGAGTCGTGTCGGGGATTCGTCTCGCGGGTGTTGCGTTTAGTTTTTTTTATTTTTTGTTTTTTTTGTTTTTTTTCTTCTTCCGGAGACGACGCGCCGTTTCGGCAGGAGCATCGCGATTTCCGGCGCGATATACGCGACGGTGGCAAAACAAGCGGCTCGCGACTTACGAGGCGGCGGCGTGGCGTGTAGAACATAGGAGACCGTCGACCGAATAAATTGCCTTCCGCACGACTGGAGGCCATTATTATACGGCGGCGGCGGCGGCGGCGGCGTCGAGGAACGCGCGAGTCCTTTAATACCCCCGTAAACCCATTTTACACTACATTTTTCACCGGCCCACCGTGTCCCTGCCGACCGCCCCGCCGCCCCTTCCCCTTTCGCCCCCCGATTGTCGTTCGGGTACTCGCGTACACGGCGGCGGCGGCGAAGACTCTCGGACGGGATTTTTATTATATTACGTTATTTATTATTTCTCCGCCACCGTACATGGATACGGACGACGACGACGACGACGACGACGCCGCCGTACACGCGTTCGGTATCGATTACCGCGTTCAATTTCGTGATATTAATTCGCGAGCGCACGCGGGATGTGATAGGCGTGCGCCCGCGGAAAAAAAACTGTGATCGCCGCATAGTCGGATGCTCGGAGGTGTGAAAAGTCGAATGCGTGTTCTACCGAAACCGGGCCATTATAGAAAAAAAAAAAAAAAAACGACGATCCAGATTTCTTTTTCGTTTTCGAGGGCGGAGATGCGAGGGCGCGTGAACAACGGGAATATAAGAGATTTCGAATCCGCTGCGAACGCGTGTGAAAGACGTGGACGAAAAATTAGTGCATTACCCGAAGCGGTCGAGCCCAGAATGGAAGCCAAACGGGGTTTCTCCTCGTCCAAAACCGTCTCAGCCGTCGTTTTGAACACGCCGTACAGCTCGGCCACGCACCGGATGCGCATTTTGCCCACTTTGAAGCTGTTCACCTCCAGCTCCAGTTCCACGGTGGTCGTGGACAGGACGGGCGGTTCTTCGCCGGCCGGCGCGGTGGCCAAAGCCCCTGACGCGAGCGGAGACGACGACGGAGCCGCCGGGGCCGGCAGTTCGGTTAGCCAGCTGACCGGAGACAGCCGACCGTAACTCGAGTTCATCTACAACAGAACGCAAGCGAAACATCCAATGTTATTACGATAAACGTTTGGTGTTTTACAAAACTGTAAACAAGGACGGTACTGATGGGAGAGTACGGCGCACCACTGCACACTCGTTTGATTCGAACGCCTGAACGGCAACGGCGTAACGATTCTCGAAAACAATTATAACAATCATTGCCGAGAAGATTCGGTTAGCGAAACACGTCGTTTCACGGAATATCGACCGGTTCTTTTTAATTTTTTTCCCCGGTTAGATTTCTGTTAGCGAATTCAGTTCGATTGATGTGTTCGGGAAGTCATTTTTGATTTGTCTTGTAACTGACTGAACAACGGATGAATTAGGAAAGACTGGTTATTAAAAGACGTTATCATATTTGATATAATTCAGTTCAAAATAATATTTATCATCTGAATTTTTCATCGAATAATTTCTATTCTCACATTTCAGACGCGGTGCGAATTACTCCGGCGTTATTATAGTTTTAACGATACGTTTTTTTCGTTTTACAGTAATAGTTGACACGCCTATTTCTGAAATTAACACACGTTCCAACAAATTCGTTTTTCATTTACGATATTTTACTGTTGCGTACGGATACCCTATACATCCTGCCTTCCAAACTTTTCCCTTACTACGGTGGACCACCCAAGATACTTATAAGAAAAAAATCTACATACCATAGTATGAAGATTTTCTTTTTTCTTTAAGTTAAATTCGCTTTATTTATTGTGGGGGAGGCAACGTTAAAATGACAAGATTATGCACATTTTTTTTTTTTATAATAATATTCCAATATAAATATTTCATATTCAATAATAACTTTACGTTCGTTCTCGGACCTAACGGCTAGGAGAAAACTTCGACCATCCAAAACCATTAATAAATAACCATTTCATTTGATATCTTCATTATTTTAATATCTTACAATACATTATAAATAATAGTATTATAGTACAAAATAAGCAAACCATTAATACGGTTATTTAAATTTTTTACGTATAACTATGGTCATCCAAGTGTTTCGCTATTTCATTTATAGTAAATTCTGTCGGCATGAAACCCTGGCAAACAGTGGACACTAGTTAAATCCGCAGTACTATTACGGCTCGGTCTCCTCGAAATAAATAAATAATGTACCCTACATTTTTACAATACCACTTGATTCTTTTGTGTATCATTATTTCTATGTCAAATGATTTTTTTTTTCCTTATAATATGCACGTACACTTTAAAAGAAAAATATGTTTTTTTTTTTTTTTTTTATTTCGGTTATTTTATCCGCTTATATTATAATAATTGTTTAAGATATCAATGTATCACAAATATTTTATAATTAACTAGAATACAAATGTAGTTTTTATTTTTTTTATGATTTACAATAATCGTTTGCGATGTTAGAGAAGCGGAATTATTCATACGTGTTACTATTAAAATTCTATCGAGTGTATCTAATATCTAATACTAATACGGTATAACTTTTATTTTAACACGTTTTCTTGTATCTTAAGTTCAATCCGTTATAAATCATAATAATATTATATTATCATCTTAATATTTCTTATTTCGTAATCACATATAATTCAAACTTGATTAAATATTTTCATCGGTATTTTCGAGAAAATGTCTGTTCTTCGGAACACGACAGAATGAATATATCTAACGTTTTATTAGGTACATTATGTTTTAAAAATCGACAAACGACATAGCGTGTCCGCGGAAAAACATTTTTTTGATTTTTATCATACGATTGTTCTATACGAAAATAATATTTAAACTAATAAGCGTATTTTCGTCGATTCATCGCGTCCGACGTGTTTTTTTTTTATTTGCATGGTTTCCTAAAATAAATTACCATTAATCATAGTATAGAGTGGAAAATTCATAGCAATCAGAGATTTAAAATATTTATCGCGTGCCGACAACTGTATGCGTTTGAAATGACATCGATGAAGGATTATTCCATACTTGGGTTTATTTTGGAAACCAATTTTGGAATTTTTTCATTGATTTCTGGCTACCCCGGTGGCACCACGCACAAAAACGAATTGGATAATTATTTTAAGAAAAGAAAAATGTCTACAGTGTGCCTATAACGTACGAGACACAGTTGTTGTATTATTATTATTATTTAACTTGATTTTGCATACGCCCGGAGCAATATTTCAAGGCGAATATTATGAACAATATACTACGGCGGTAAAGCGACTCTGGAAGCTGTATTATTGGCGGAACGAGAGGGGAAATGTGTGAAATTGATTTTTTTTTTTTTTTTTTTAAACCTAACCCGTAGTACGCCGGATGATGACGGTCATAATACTAGTCGGTTTTTCTGTTGTTGTTATTGTTGTTGTTGTTACTGGTGGTGTTTTTTTTTTTTTTTCCCCTAGATTATTATAAATAATATTATTTTCTGCGAGTACGCGTTTTACGGCGGTTGATAAATGAACGGCGAATGACGATTGTCTAGTTTTTCGAGACGGGAGGTGGCCGATTCAGCCGGTCGTATGCAATGGTCCCGTGTGGACGCGCCCGGCGTACGCTCGCCGACGTTTGCTTCAGCTGGCCGCTATTTATCGTTGTCCGATAAACGCTCGGATCGTGGGCACGTGCGAGAGACATTCGATCCGCGGCTGCCGCGTCGGTTGCCAATTAACGTCGAGTCCGCGCACCGTAATTGGCGTGGGTACGCAAAGCCCGGGAAAACGCGTACGCGGTATAATTGAGCGTTACAGTGATGTGTCGTGCGATATATCATTCTATGCTATAGCGGTACATAATAATAATAATAATAATAATCGGAGTTCGGGTGTCGTGGTACTTATAAAAATCGTGGAAATAACATAGGTACTCCGCTATAAGCGTTTAAAAAAAAAAAAAAAAACCGCGTTTAAATAAACAACTCCAACAACAAAAACACTGGAAAGCAGTCGAATTTTTCCCAGTCGACAATATTTAATTTTTTTTTTTTTTTTGTTTATACATAATTGATCTGGGAATACTTAAAGTAGCTATCGAAATACGAGTATTTGCAAACGCACATGCCGATGACGCGATATAGTAGCTTTCTACACGCACATCCTCGGTGACAATGGTAGACAACGTAGAGATTTCAACCCTGTTACTTCCGTTAATGAACATTGATGAACATGAGTAGGTATCTTAAATCCAATATTTCTTGTGAAAATATGAAATTTAAATGGTCGAGGAGGTGTTTGAAAGACAAAACCCTCAAAAGATACATCCCAGACGCCATGCATAAAAAATGCCATCCTTCAGGCCGAGATCTGTAGATGTGTATAGAGTAAAAAAAAATTTAAAAAAAACACTATCCCACCAAAACTACATAATAAATTAGTATTAAAACAAAACTCTATTTCCGATGTTTTGGCTCATTGGTCCAGAAGTGACAGAAAAAAAATATTTATAACAAACACAAAACAGTGCAGTAGTCTCTATTTTTGGGGAATATTTAATAAAACATACAAATTTATGAAATATCTGGACCGTCGTTTATGCATATGACATAGTAAAAAACTCGTAAAAAAAAAAAAAAACACAAACAATTTTAAAAAAACTAGCGATAATATAATGTTATTTTAAGAAAAACGGTCAAATTTGATATACTTTAATATCTTTGTATTTTTATTGTGGACCTTTCCACAACTCTTTACAGGATTTCATATGGAACAAAATAGGAAAAAAAGTCAAACACCAAACCATTACTATTTTTTAAATAAAGCAATATATTAGTTTTATTCTCGCATTAAATTAAAGGCGAGCGTTTAGTTTCTACAATCGTTGTTTAGCGAGAATTCAAGAGCAATTACGGTTGTACCACGGTAACGGTGACAGATTGACAGATCCGAAAATCAAAGCGAAATGATTGAATAGTCTGATCGACATGTTTATATTTGAACGAAATTGATTTTACTTTTTCTTAAGAATCCATATTTTCAGTTAACCGAAATCAACTCAGTATCGTTTTTTTTTTTTTTTTTTTTGATGATTTCTCGTTTATTTTTAGTCCACAATAAATTATTCTAAACACACCTACAACAGTTTGCCTACCCACGGTGATGAATATATCTGACGGTATTTTTTCGTTTAACCTGTAAATAATTGGTGTAAGAATAATATAATAATATATTGCCTACTGTGAATTGCCCGCGAGATTTTAACGCTTTTAATCTGACCCTACAGACACGAGCAACCGTCGGGATTTTTTTGTCACGCGTTCTCCGGGAAGCGTTTTTACAAACCCTATCCGCGTTTGGCCACGGTAGAAACGTAAACGAGTAGGCTTTAATAATTTTAGAAGGTTTTGTGAAGTTTTACTAAACGAAAACCGTTTGTTTATCCAAGAAAGTTATATTTTTATAAAAATAAAATCTACAAAAAATGCGAGGATCCGCTGCCAACACATAGGGAAAATGGAAAACCTACCTATTGGCCCAAACCATATACTCCTCCAAAGAAGTCGCAGGTTCCGCGAGAACAAATCTAAAACATACGGTGTCCCAGTCGGTGGATAACCAGTCGGCGGGATGTTCACGTACAGCTCGGGCCGAATTCGAATAGAGTCTGTATGTAGGGCGCCGGGAAACAAAAATATGACATTATATGTTCATAAATCCTCATGACACGCGTATAGTATATCAAAAACAATTATTTAAACAGGTACGACCCCGAAAAGCTACTTTATGGTCACGACGAAAAACCAAAATGCATATCAACTATACGCGTATACGCATTATTTTATTATAATATGACTTTTATGGTCCTCTTGGTACTCGACTTGGCGCCGTTTACGGTGCACGTGCGTTTTCGGACGTTTATGATGGCGCGCGTATTTATTTATAATGTTTTACGCGTAAAAAGTGAAATGTAATATTATGATTATATTTTCACGGTTAACTTCTGTATATACCTGTACACCGGGCTGCGATTTCGCATTAAAAATAAAAACGGATACCGAATTTATGTACAAAGTTCTTATCGGCGCGACGTCGGTGTTTAAATTGGACTCGTTTTTGTGCATACAAATCGCACGTAACTGCGTTATTAACGGAGCACGTTTGTACAAAAAATATTATATTTACTTGTGTATATAATCTGTCTGAGAAACACAAAAACTTTTAGCGGTGTTCGCTCTCTCCCGCGCGTATATTGTCGTACAATATCATTGTGTAAAACGGACGCTATCCGTTCAGAAATTTATTTGTTTTTCTTCGCTCGTTCGCATCGATTTTATTTTACCTACCTGCGGGCTATACGGTTTATTTACTTTTTATTTATTGTGTTCCGTGTGCAGCGTATATACTCACACTAAATATTCGATTGGAGCGATAAGTGCTTTTGACTTTTGGTTTTTAATTCCCTAAGAAGATTGCTGAAGTTTTTCCAAATCGTCTCTAAATTTTTAACACTTGAAACATTCTTTCTATATACATGTATATATATATATATATATATATATATATATATATATATATATATATATATATATATATAAATATTTTAATCACATTAGTAAGACGAGTTTTTCGCTAATCTACTGTCCGATACCTCTCATTTAAGGAGAAGAAGTACGGATGTTTGTACGAACGAATATGTCGTTTTATACGAAAAACTGTACATGAATTGTGTCATCAATTCCTTTAAGTGGAAACGGTCGGTTTGTATAGTACCCATTGTCCTGTTATATGTAAATGTTGACAAATCAAATAAAATTAAAATAATAAATCAGAATAGTGCATTTTAAAAATAACGTCGTTATATTTGATGAAAGTCGAACGTTTTTTAGCAAACGTTCGATTCTAACTCTTTATGCGATTACTCGTATATGCGAATATGTTGACTAGGATACGTCAAAAATTTCAAAAAATAATTATTTTTTTTAAAAAAAATTAAGAATAATTTACCACATTATGTTCCTTAGTAAAAATTACTATCATAAAACTATTAAATAAATAACTAAATTTCCTTCAATATTTATTTCGGACGAGCAATTAGATAAATTTTTATAGTTTACTACTAAATAAACGTGGAATAGATTCATTACTAAATTTAAATAATTTTACTATTAGATTTGAATAGTTTTACAACTAGATTCGACTAGTTTTACTACTTGATACGAATAGTTTTACTACTAGATTTGAATAATTTTACTACTCTATTTAGATAATAAAGATTTTATGATTATTTTATTAAATATAGAATACAACTGAATACAACATGTAATTTATTAACATAATATTCAATACTGTCGTAAAGTTATTATACTATCTGGTGCACTATAATAAAACTACGCTATATGTATGTAGAGGCAATAAATTCACTACTATTAATAACAACTAATAATATCTAATAATTACAGTGTTTACTAGTAATTATTCAAAACTATTTTACAATTATTATTATTATTTTTTTTTTTAATAGTTTATTATAAGGGTACTACTAGTGATAATATTAGTTCACTACTATAAAATGAATAAGTAGTAACTATTAAGAATTAAATAGCCAATTATTAGAGGTAACGGTGAACTACTTTAATTATATAGTCAACTTCTAAACACCAATATACGTGTTTACTAAGAGATCTATATTATGAAACGACAAATAATTGAATACGAAATCAATTCTAGGATAAAAATTAATTTCGATAAACCAGAATTGAAAATTTGCATTAGGTAATTGGGCGTTTCAATAAACTTTTTACGATGTCTATGGACACCAATATTTCTGCTTACTCTGCCTGTCTCGGTAATACGTAAACAGGGGCATTCCATACTTCAAAAAATCGTGACTTTCCGATTGAGTTAAAGGTAAAAGGACCTAATTTAATTTGTGTATCGAGATTATGCGCGTTCTTATTTAACTAGATTTTTCTTCATTCTGTTACTCCTAACGTCTTATTGAAAAGTACAAATATAAAAATTGCATTCGTTCATGGTACACAATAAAGTACATTTTATTTCATAAAATATACAAAGGTTTCTTTGCCTTACTCGAGTGAACAGAGAGTCGCGATCGAAATAAGAAATACTTTTGTTGTGAATATTACGCGCGAGACGGAGAAAACAATTAATGTTAGTCTCTAGATATAGGCCCTCTCTCTGACAATTTTACCCTGTATAACGATAAAAGTGAAATGCAAAGAAAATTTAAACGCAATTTTATTTTCTATATTGTACAGTATAACGTACGAATACATACTAAATTGGTATTTTGTATTCTTTCCGATCAGATAAAATAGAAATGTACATAATTACACTGTACAAAATATACTTCAGTTTTATAATGTTTGACGTTCGATATCGAATTATGTTTTAAAATGTACTCGTTAACAGCAACTCGCTTTGATGTGCGCATAACGTTATATTGTTGCTATCCGAACGTACCTAAGTGTAATTGAAAAATCGTTTAGGTTTCCACATCACAACAATATACGTATAAACGAACCAAACGAGCTTAAATCGTCTCTGCATCCGTTCATCTGTCGTTACATTTCCGGCGGCATTATGATTACTTACACCGTGGGATTTTTTTTCAACTCTGCGGTGCAATCTTATCGAACGCTCAATACGAATGTTATACTTAGAGAATGTACCCTTAATGTTTTGCAATAATATTCAACCATCTAGTACTAGTATGACTTAAACGTCCGGTAAAATATAACAATATCGTCCGTCCAGGTCGTGAATGAATTGTGTATCGTTGAAATCTAAGGCGCCGAGCGCCCGTTACGTACGCGTTTGCGATACTATCGTAACGACGAAATTTCGTCGCCTCGAGAATTTATTAAAATTTGTATCTTCGAATTAATTAACATTAATTAAATATTATTGTTGTCATTTCTTACTGTATAGAATAGTTCACACTATTTAGTTTTCATCGTGGGCGCTGCAGGCTATTTACGCTAAACATCAATACCCGTATCGAGATAAAACGATTTTTCATCTCGAGGTTATACGTTCGGGGAAAAAAAAAAAGCCCCGCGTTGACATTTTTTTATTGATTGCGTAATATTAGGCGTGTTTTGACAATACAATTTTCGGTAAAATAGTTTACTGCTTTGTTTGCTACTTGATTGCAACGTCGCCAAACCGTTTTGTTTGCTGTACAGTATTTTACCGATGGACAATCAGTTATCGTAAACAATAAACGTTGTCTTGAATTGTTTGCTTATTCCGGAAATACGGTTACCGGAGAGCATAGTTATTTTTCATCTAATGACATCGACCAAGTTGCTCAAAACGATTGATCGTACAGAATATTGCGAATTCAATAATCGTTTATATATATATGTATGTGTGTATACGAAAACGAGAATTCTGCCCTATTGCGCAGTAACTATAAGTAGTACATTTTTCGATAAATTGACATTTTACACCTATAAATTAGTATATCTGATAAAATAAGTAGAATATTATTTGTAATTTTTAATTTAAAACTTGGCTGAGGGATTTTCCTGAAAATTTATGATTAAGAATATTGATATATCCGGCATTCATTGGATTGTGTTTCTGTGGTTTGGGAAAACTCGGTATAAAGGACAGTATCGAAGTGTCTAAAGTGCACGTCAGTCTATACCGTCGGAAACTTTTGGATTATTGACACACAGCGATATTAATAGTAAATATATATTGCAATGACACCGTTGTCAGCGAACTGTCGTTTTTTTATGAACAGTTATAAATAGTATTATTATTAGTTTATTTTTTTTTTTTTTAAAGAAGAAGAAGAAGAAGAAGTTAGTATTATGATAATTATGTACTATTACTGAGAAAAGGGGCTTTGACCCCTGGTTGATGAAATTGACAACCCCCGTTGCATGGTTAACGTAAATAAAATATAAAAAATAGGTATGAAAGGTATATAAATATAAAAACTGTTTTGTATAATAAAGAGGTATTATTATAAATAAAAACGGAAAAAAAAATACTACTAACAAGTCTTATTGCGATTTGTTTTCGCTATTTCTAACCTTTATTAAAAGATCCACGTGGAATGTCGTACGGAGAGAAATTTTGTGATATTTTCTTGGGAAATTAATTAACAAATTTCAAATTTTATTGTAAATTATTTATTATTTTGTTTTTACATATTTATTTGTGTTTAATTTTCTAAAACGGATTTAATAAACCAATAAACGTCCGTGTGTCTACAACCAACTCACAAAAATTCACCTTAGAATAATCGCCATTCTTGAAATCTGGAGCGAGGTTACTGGTAGAAAAGTCTTCAACAAACAGGGAAAAAACTGAAGCACACATCATAGTAATACCTACACATTAGCTCATTGTGTTCAAAATCCTAACCTTTTCATATTTATTAAGTTTTCTTTTTCTCAAATATTCTTCGATATTACATAAATGTTTTAGCTGTTATAAACAATACGAGTGCGTTAAGCAATATCGTCGTAAATTTTAATTGGGAACCGTAAACTAACGTCTTCGAACAACAATATTATATTTATGGTAAAGAATTCGACGCTAATATATAATAGGTGTCGTAATAAACATGAACCACGGTCATGGGGTTGGGTGTGGTACAGCGGAAATACAGCAGCAGGTACCACTTAGATTTTCCGCGTAGTCCTCACGTTGTTACATAAGATAATAGCTGTTAGTATAAATTATAAAATGACAGTTTACGTACAACATTCTAGAAAATATTATCTACCTCGTAAATAATAATTGAAAGCGATTTTATAAACGGGGTAAAAAAGAAAAAACAAAAACAAAAACACCACTCTCCGGAATATCTTAATTATCGATTTTTAAAAAATATTATATTTTTCTCTTTTACTATATCTGTTTGAGTTTAAACGGAATTATATCCTTTTGAGTTGTCCGGTAAAAATAAAGAGCGGGGATCAGTAGGAGTACCTAGGTTAAAAGGTCAATAAGTTACGTTCGCTTAGTATTTTGTCCAATAAAACTCTTCAGTATAGTAACTTATAAAATATGTTATTTAAAAATTATATATTTTCCTGCAGAAATGTGTACATAATAACATAATCAGTAACCATGTGCACGTCAAATGGATAAAATAAATATTGACGGTCTGTAGATTTTATTTTGTAAACATTTATAACGCCTTCGTTTGAAACACTTACGAGTATACGCATCAGTATAACATTTCCGTATAAAACGTTTATGTATTTAAAAGAACCACTCGGCGAAATATTATCTTCTCTGAGATTTTGAGTGGAGCACTGGAGCGATGAGTATATCGGCTGTTCTATGGATGTGTATATTTTTTTTATTTTTTTTTTATGACAGTAATTTTCATAGCAAAAATCTTAATCCAATCAGAATAGAACAAAAAAAGCTTTTAGATCCGATTGATGCAATAAGAAGTTGATTTTTTAATTTTAAAATCAAAAAAGCATAATTTTTGAAATAAAATTTCGTCTAATCGTTATATTAGAAAGTTATTTTTTGATGGTTATTATAGTTTTCTTAATTACGGGAAAGATTACATAAATAACAGTTACATTATTTTCAATTTATTCAACGAATACTTATGTTGGCCTTTTCTACAGTTGTAAAAAATTGAAAACGTTTTAGTGATTTTAAGCTATTTATTAATATTTGACATTTTCTAGGCATACAAAACATGTTTAACCGCCCTTTGATCTGTTACAAATGATTTATCGTTGGATACAGATATAAATTAAATAACTTAATACATCTCACCTTCCCAATTTCTCACCTGGCACACCAATCAACAGTATCAGCTCTTTAAATTATTGTTTAAAAACAAATCTATTAGAAATAATTGTATATATCTGAAACGTTCACGAATATATGAAATAATTATACTAGGACTTTATATATACGAAAATTTAGTATTTAAAACATTCAGACAATTTCCAGTTTAATTGAATAAAATTTGTCATGATCATCATAAATGATCAAGAATTGAACATAAGGCATATAATTAGCTAAATTTACTTAGTAGTGAAAATAAAAAATGATCGTAATGTAGTTTTTTAAAATTTGAACTTTACAAGCTTATAACAAAAAAAAACTAAAAATCACGAAATTTTAAATAATTTTGAATAAATCTTTTCTCATAATCATTTGTTGTTGAAAAAAATGTATAGGTACGCGTAGATATATGTACCTATATTAAATAGCATATTGATTACCTATTAGTAGGTACTTACTAATAGTTAACCTCCCCAACTTTTAAGCTTTCAAACAAATCTTTTAAATTGAACTTCATAAGTGTATTATAATTATACGTAATTGAAAGTTATAAAAAATGTTTATTTACCTGTGTTAAAAAATATTATGTATATTTACCTATTATTGAGGTTATATTATTACGTACATGAACAGGGTGTTTAATAAATTTATTCATATTCACTTTCGAAATAATATCACATTTTATTTTTGAATATTATTACAAACATATTACAATCATATGTGTTTCGCCTTTGGAATATTAAGGGCCATATCAGCTGAATAAATAGTATCACGACATTTTTTATCCTCAAAAATAACTAGACTTGTTTGTCTTCGCTGAGACGTGTTCATATTTTTAAACACAGACGGCGTGACCTTGAGCCGGTGTCTGAAAAACGCAAAATACACGTTAAAATATTTATAAAAAGAAGTTCTCCATAGAAAAACCACGCGATTAGTACTCGACTAACGACGTATCCTCCGACGTATTGACCGTACTGTTTATTTGCGTCTGTAGTTTTGGCCGTGGACCCACAATGTTATCAAAATTTACATTTTATTATGGTTTTTTGATTTGCATGACGAATGGTTATCTGTTATTCCAATATTCTAAAACCGTACGACTTTTTATAACATTAGGTTTAATAATTATTTATATTTTAAAATTATGTTTTGTACAATGTATTAGTTACTTTTTTCTTGAAAATTTTACTTAAAACAATGATTATAATATTGTCTACTTTTAGTATGTTTTATTTTTTACTTCTAGGCTCTAAGCAAAACTTATAATTATTATCTTGTTAAATTTCCGAGCAATTCTAATAATTCAAACAATGATATTCACGCAGTATCTTCCACATAATTATTATAAATCATTATGTTTTGGAACCAAAGATATATCATATAAATATACGTAAGTATTATAATTTTAATTATTTTTGTTTTTCTAACCTCTTCGTTTCCTCGTACACTGTAATATAGTATTTTACTGTGATGATAATTGTCATTTTATTCCTCGACGTTTTAATTTAATTTCAAGTACTATTGCTTAACAAATTTAAACAAATTATACGCACAACTTTGAAAGCACTATTAATACGACTTAAATTTATATAATCGGCTAATGTTAACCATGCGAGGCGTCTTAAATTTCGGGCCGAGTGAAACTGCTGTTTCAGAGTTTATTGCATTAGGTATTCGGTTTGCGCATTTCAGTCCGTTTAATAGCAGTCTAAAACAATAAACATCGCTCTGTTCCTACGATTACGGGGAAAGAGGAGAGATACGCTGGACGGATTCATTCCGCATCAGTCAATGTAAGTAGACGTGACAACTTCTATAATACTGAACCGTCGGGAGAAAAAAATACATGTATAGCCGAACGTTACAGTTATAATAGTTGGTGTCATATTATAAAACTCGATCGTAATAGAATATATACACCCAATATTTTTTTTAGTCACGTCATGTTATATACGACGAGACTTTTTGTTTGAGCGAAACTCTAATCACATTTAGAAATAGTATGTATAGGTTACATTATGTTAACTTTAGACAAGTTAATATAATCGTTGTTGAGATTTAAGTAAACGAATTTATTCATAGATGATTTATCTAGATTTTACTTTTTTAACTTTTATCTAGAAAATTTTGATATATATCTGAGGTATATAAAAATAAAATATCATTTCATTTAGTATCTAAATTATTATTATCCAAAACAAAAGCTCACATGGTAATAAATATTTAAGTTATACTTTTATAGTTGTTAAAATTAATTTCAAGTCTGTGTTTACAGTAATATTTTAACCATTTAAATTTATATTTTCCTTTTCAGCATAAGCTTATGGTAGGAAATTAAATTAAACGTATTTCATTCTTTTTAGTTATACATATATTCATCTTATTTATAATTTACTTACGTCGAAATGTTTTAATTATTTGTTATCTTTATACTTATTTATAGAATCAAGAAAAATTTACTTACCTGCGTCTCAACACCGACAGGCAGCTAATACCACTTATGTTCGCGATAAAATAAAAAAAAAAAAAAAAACCGTATAATAAATTCATGCGGTGTTTGGTCCGCGAGTTGCAGTTTTCCGGGATATTACGCCGTGTTTAATTAAAACAGATTTCGAAACGGTAAAATAATATAATACTCGTATTGAACGTATTATTATGGTATTATTCCATATTGTCCGAATAAATCGCACATATTACTAGCCGGCGAAACAAAAATGCAATTCATAGGTGCCCGATCCATTAATCATTACACTATTATACAATATCGTAAATTATTACATGACCGCATACTATTATTGTTTGTACAAATAATATTCAGGGTGAAAATACACGTATTGAGAGATACGTGTTTTATACGCACAGAGAGAAATATTATACACAACAATAATACCGTGTTGTTAAACGTTCTGTGACGTTTGCAGTGTTTTGTGCCGTCTGTTTTAAAATTTTTTTTTTTTTGTTTTCATTTACATTTGAAACACGAAAGGAAATGTGCGCCGTGAGTATTATAAGTAGGTACCGATAGGCATTTCGCGTGCAATAACAATAGTACGTACGTATATATTATTAAAGGTTAATCGAAACCGGAGTTGCGATATTATACGAGAGTACAATAATAGGTATGTCTCGCGGTTGACGATTCAAAAATATGTAAAGAGAAAAACGAAAATATTATTCCAAAATCGTTTACAAGATTATTAGTTTGTAGCAGCTCGTCATGTGGAGCGAGTGAATCGAAGTCTCAGACCTGTTTAAGTCTATCGAAGTCTATCAAAGTAATGATTTATAATGACCAAGTTTTTTATCAATCTGCTCTCAGCCTCCCTAAAAGTATGATGATTAGTGAGTGTGTAAGTCAGTAACTAAAATATAAATTTTAAATTCTTCAAGTTTAAAAATGTTTAATATCAAAAGCTCAACTTTGTACTTTGTCGTAATCTATTTTTATACTTTCAAAAGACTATCTTAAAGGAAACAGAAATATAAGAGCGAGAAAAACCTGGTGAATTAGTTCGTGTAAAAATGTTCTGCCATAATGCTTGATGGAAGCAGAGCCACTGCACGGCCATGCCAGGCACTCAGATTTCGTTCCAAATAAAATATAAATTAGTTTCGCAATGATATTTTCATAGCTGCTTAATATTTTTAATTTTCAAAATAATGACCGATTACTCATTGGAACATAATATCAACAAATAATACTTTTAATGATAACAGCACCTCGTTTTTTTGTATTTTTGATCCACTTATAGTTTTTTTCTATATATTATGACGTATACTGAAGAAAAAAAAAGTTAATATAGGACATATGACACAGTCATCCCGCTTGTGAGCAGGCCTCTGATACTCGTTCACCTTGTAATTTTTAAAACATTCGCCTCACCGCCTTACAAGGCTCACGAGCCACCACTGATGTTAGTAGTACTACACAAAAGTAATTTCATTATTATTCCATTAGACGAGTATATGTTTCATTCAGACAGGGCGACGATCAATATGTGAAAATCGAAAAACACATCCAGATAAATCAAAACGGAACGCAAGCCAATTTAAATATAATTTCGTATTATCGAAAATTGCGCTCACCGCCTATCTACGCGCTTGTATATTAAGTAGATAAATCTTATTAGACATCGTAATTATATATATATATATACCTACCTAGTCTGTTCGTGGTCAGCTGACAACCGGAAAAATGTGAAAATCCCGTTTCAAGTATACCAGCGTATTTATAAGTGTGTAACCACTACATGTCTACTCCATTAATGAACATCCCACGAGCAGATATAGCAAATCTTCCCCTTAAATTTATGATTTTCCCCAATTACCACTTTCCCAGCCAATGCGATTATTTCATAATATTATATAAAATACAATATTTTTTACTTAATCCACTTATTCCATCTATTTACTATTTATTTCCTACTGGGCACTCATTAACACAATTTTACTCTACTATATTTCCAAAAGACTATATTTTAATCATTTGGACACATAAAATCTCGTCAGAAACCTATATTTCATAAAAAGTGCGTTAATGTGCGTGCACGGTACACCCATAGCTAAACAAAAAGTATAAAATGGTAACGGCTATACCAGTATCTCTCTCGAACAGTACATAGAGAATTCTGTCAGTTTGAGGTTCAATATTAAAACTGCCCTAACTTACTTGAATAATGCTTTAGACATAACGTGTGTGGTCTGTCAACTATTCTTGTTAACATAAAGTTAGTTTTACACACGTTGGTTACTAAATCGACTATTAGTCATGTTGATTTACAATCAAAATAAACTGTAGTAGAGAACGCAATGTTCTCGTATAAATCACGAAAGTTATGCAACCAATTACAGGAGGCAGAGGGCAGAGCCTGTATAAGAAATTATAATTTTCCCTTTTAAAGAATACGTTTGTTGTACTATATGAAAAATAGAAAGCTTCAGATTAATACGATTGGAGAAAACAATAAATTAGAAATGGTGAAAACAGGATGCCTGCGACGTGCCGGATAAACGTAAATAAGCCGAAACTCACCACTGCAAACGGTTCTGGAACAGAACCAAATAGATGAAATACTAATAAGAGGGCCGAGTATGATGCGGAAACACATGTTTTACTGTATGTGTTTCATGTATAGTGAAATAGGATTGGAAATCATTATGAGGTGTACCAAATATAAAGATTTTGGCGAAGGATAGCTGGATGACAATAGTTGTAAAAATCATGGCCATAGAGTCCACATAAACCCGAATGATAATAATACCAAAAACTGATAATTTGTTTGAAGCCGCGCATTATCGTTAGTTAAATGCAGGTAAACACGGCAGTGACATTAAAACGACCGGACTTCTACTTCTGACCTAACTTGAATTATAACGTTCACCACAAAGAACCAAATGGATCCGCATATCCCGCCCTAAACCCCACTAGCTACCGTATTTGATGCTCGTTCGGAATTTCCCCCAGGAATTTTATGTCCGAAACACGAAAACAATATATTTTCGCTTTTATTCATAGTTGCTACACCATATACAGTGTACACGGGTTATCGCTCGAGCGGTTCAATACGCATACATACGATAGGTACGGTAGTTCAAGTACTTGCCTGCTCTCCCGCCATAAAGCCAAGTACGTCGGATGACGGTCGCACGTTCATTCACGATAAAAGTACAATAAATTATTAAGAACATATTTTATATAATGTTTAGTATAATATTGTTGTTGTATAATTATATGTTTTTAAATTTTACAAATTTTTTGCACGTGAGGTAACGCTGGTGTGGTTACTCGTTTTAAACAATTCGTACCTACCGAGTATTATTATTTGATTATACTAAGCCTGGACAAGTACTTGCATTTACAACTAAATTAATTTTCGTCATTTTCAAATGTAAATAAAGCTAATTAAAGTTTATATATCGATTCATTTAAGTGGAAAAATTAATCAAAAATTAAAATTTACTTCTTAACTCAAATTTATATCATTAAAAAAAAATAAAATAAAAAATGAGTAAATATGTTTATATGAGTATACAAAATAAAAATTGAAATCAACGAGCTTGTTTAAATTTTAAATTAATTCGAACTAATTAAAAGTTAATTCATGTGAACTCCTAAAGTTAACAATTAAATAAATAACATAAGAAGTTAAATTAACTTAACTTTAATTTATTAACTAATTAATGCCAAACCTTGGATTATACTATGATGATTTCGTTAATGTTATTATCGTTTAAAAGCAATATTGGGAAATATTGCTAATACTTGTATCTAGATAAAAGATAACGATTGTATACTAAAGATTTATCTTTGGTAGTGATAGTTTTTAATTATTAAGATAACATAAAATATAATGGTTATATATATTAAAATAGATCATGAAAATATTTTTTCCAAAAAAATAGGCATTTCAGATTTAAATCATATTGGTAACGCAAAGATATTCAAGTAGAATCATTTCGAAACCGAGGACTTTTCAATTTAAGTTGTAAATTTTAAATTCTTCTGAAGGTAACTGATCTCGTATATCGTACTTATTTTATCGTTTGAAATGTTCATCATCGTATGAAATAATGCGCTAGTATGGCTCTTGGACAGTAAACAAATATATGGACCACGTCAATTTCATGTCTATATAACACTAGGTGGTATACACCTTGACATGATTGTTACAGTCTACGAGATACTTTAAGAGTCGTGGTATCAGTCTCACTCTAACAGTTTGTGTTAAAATATTAAAATTGACCGTATGATAAGTTACAATTGGCCATTCATTTCTTTATTATCTATGGGCATTAGATACGCTACAATATTATAATATGTACAGTCCGGAAATCACAGAGCTAGCACATTTATTTTGGTACAATATATTTCCACCAGAGTGCAGACCCTTCGAATTTATATCCTAACAGCAATGACAAGTCGTGCAGAATTTTGCACTCGATAATTTTCCGTTTCGTTTATTATATCGACAATATTCGTCTCCATAGAAAACGCGTTCATGCACCCAACACCATAATATTATTTATTTTAAAAATAAATTCTAAAACCAGCACCGTCGCCGTCGGTATTTCATTACGAGAACATGTTTCAGAACCGCGGAAATTAATATTTAAAAAAATAATTTTATTATTTTCGAGGAGAATAGATATTATACTGTTATACTGATGAGAGTAACGTTCGAAATTCGGATCATATTATTTTACATCTGGGATTTTATAAAAATCTTGCAAATATTTTTAGCTGATATTTGTGTGCAGTTATTTGCATAATATGAAACATTTTTCACCGAATAAATTCCGAGAAAATTTCCCCAACATACCGATGTAATATTTAAAATATCGCCTCGTGTTTGTGTTTCATTTTGGACGACTTCCCAGTCCGGTGAATTGCGGTTTCGCAGTTAGACATTGAACTATACACAATTGCAGAATCGCAATATCAATTAATTGATTAAGGCCGTGTTCTGTACTGCGTACGACAAACAACGTCCTCAAATGCCGACGACGCAATATATTTATTATATTAAAATAGTAGTCGTATTGCCGTTGCAGCGGTCTTTATTATCCGATCTCGTTCGAAACGTTACATATCCAACTCAACCCGCATAATCTCTTAATTCCTGGAGCATAATATTAAATCCATTATAACATCATTATATCCTGCGTTTGGAGAGAGTTTTAAAATCAGTTGAACCGTTGTATTATTATAGTAATAATTCCTTTACATTGTCTACCCCCGTAACAATTTGTTAACCGTAGCTGTGTGATTGTATAAAGTTCCAATTCATTGGCGTGGTGAAAAACGTATTCTGAGGCCTGTGATGCCCCAACATCAAATTGGTTGCGGGCGGATGGTGTAGGGTTGTGGTCGTTTTAGGCGTTTAGAGGCGTAAAGCTCTTCTAACTATAGACTAGTGATTTTAAAGTATAGTGACAGCCTTTAATATAAATAATTGTTTCGTATTCTAAAAGCGGTAATATAATTGTATAAGTGCAGAAAATTACTGGGCCTATCGTCAAAATAAAAAAAAGTGTTCTACAGTGTAAAACATGTAAGTACCGTGTTTAATCTGTAAAAGTTACTGAAAAAAAGCATAATAAGTTTTGGATGTGAGTATTTGTAAAAAAAAAAATTTATTGTAAACGTAAAACGATTCTGGTCGGAGGAGTATTAGTCGTGTTTTTTCCCTTACTATCAAGGTAATTTATAAAATCAAAAATACATTGTTTTTTTTTCTAAATTATTTATAATACTACAAGGAAAATAAAAATCGATCTTCGCAATGGAGCGAATAGATTCAAAGTGCTACATTCCTAAAAAGTTTTTGAACGAAGCGATATTTCTGGTAGAAGAGTTCTTAAGGGAATGAACAAAATAAAACCCGAGTCATCTTCTTAACGGAATCTAAAAACAAATCTTGTAAAGGAAAAACCACAATTAACATTTTTTTTTTTTTAACCGCGCTTTATACGTAGTACTTTTTTTGAGTGAAGCATATTTAATTTAATTCGCGTAATAATCGAAAATGACGATAAATAAAATATTATTACATCAAAACATATATACCATCGATTTTTTTTTTCGTTCTATCGAGGATGTAAGAAGAAAACATACTTAGCAAAATCATTTAAAGTGCAGTACTTTTATATTATATAACATGGTTTTGTATACTCTTCTACTTCATACATATATATTGTATACATGTATAGATATAATTTGTAGTATATAAGAATTTACTTCAACGGAGAGTAAAACAATTACAAAAATGTAATCGTTTTTACGTTTGTATGTACATTTGTTTTATTTACTTTTTATGTGTTGTTCGGATGTCGAGAACGACGACAACAAGGAATGGCTATTCGCTTACGGTAATGTGTATTTTTTATTTGTCTGAAAACAATTTTCAGCGTAGTTAATTTTTTACAATAATATTCTTTCGTATAACGCAACGCAATAATAATACAACCAATCGGGTCGTAACAGTAGACGCGCGTACGTTTTTTCGTATTAATAATATTTTACTATCGAGATTACAAAACGTTTTTGATTTTTTTTTTTTTTCGTATTACACCTGCAACGATTATTTAGTGTAAATTTTCAAACAGTGGGAAAAATCCACCTAGTATCGACATATTCGAGTAACTATAATTACAGTGTTTTCAAAATTATAATAATAATCTATTCAATTTTTGAAAATTCAATATTATTTAAAAACTTTGAGATTCCACACGGATTGTTTTAATGATTAGCACACTAAATATATACTGCAGTTATTCTTTTACTTTTTAATCCATTTAATAATTTTAGATTAAACATAAATATACGTAAATTTGAACAATTACATAAGTTCTAAGGTATAAAATTTATATAATATAGGGTCCTTGCCGAGGATTTTATAGAGACGTACAAGTAAATTTTTTTCTCCTTAGGTATTAAATAGAGTCAGAATGTTTAGAACTTTGTATGTTTAAGGTAATTCGATGTTATTGTTTTTTTTTTCAACTTTAAGTCGTTAAAATATACAATTATTAAAAACATTACCAAGAAAAAATCAATAAGAACACACATTTACGCGTTCCAATTTCGCCAAATTTATAGAATTAGGTCAATCAGCAGAAATAACGTTGTTAGCAATAACTGTACCTAAATAATTTTAATTAAAAACTAAATTATTATAAATATAGAGTTATATATAGACAGATGCCTAGGACAATATACTTGTACACAAATTAATAATTGTGAAACGTCTGACTACAAATTATTTGATTTTTATATCGACTATAGTTTTATTGACTTACTTAACTTTAATATTTGTGAAAATAACGCTGATAACATCTGCACGGGTAATTTTAATAGTCCTCTTTTGATAATCACCGATAAAAATTGATAACTTTACAAAGTTTACATTCAAACAACTGATAAAAAATGAATATACAACACAATTCAATAATAGTATGAACAAAATTTGGTAATTTTGAACACGGGCGCCGACCAGATGACAGTCCAACAACATCTCAAAGTCGGATTTTAAAATTTAAATTTCCATACATGGGCTCAAATTAAATTTTGTTTTATATTATTACCGGGTTCTCTTATTGGCTTCACAGGGGAAATACTACTTAGAATAGTCAAACCAGTTGAAGGGGAACACTCAGATGCGTTTTATCGTCGAACATTTTATTTCTATTCTGAAATGTTTTGTCTTACCCATTTGTCATTCAGGTACCACGAGACGTTTGATGGTGGGTTGGACGGCGGTGACGTGCAGTTGCCTTTTAACGTGTCTCCGATGGTGTAGTGCCGTTTCTCTAGCGTTAACAACGGTTGTCCAATCGGCGGGTCTGAAATACAAACATAAATTTAAGATTAAAATGGATTTATTTTGCATTTTTTAACTATAATAATTTGCGCTTATCAAATAATATAATATGAATTATTGAACTCATATACTGACGATATTCAATACAATCTGAAGTTTTACTAATGAAAACTATACAAAAATACATGAAGTATACTGTGTATACTTATATACATTTATTTAACGAACACAAATGCTATGTAATTACTAATACGCTAAGATATTCCTTTGATATAATAGTTTGTACACTTATTCACACTAATTTTATAACTCGTTAGCTTTAAAACTTAATGAATTCATCTTAAATTTAAATTAGGTTATCATGCAAAGTAATAATTGACAACTTGTCAATAACAAAACAGTGCTCCAACAATATTTGTATAATTTAATTCTAAATGTCAATTTTTTAAATTATTTTTGGTTTGTTATACTTCACAATTTCATTTTAAAACTAGACGTTAGTGGCTAGATGTATTGAAAAAGTGACTGCTTACAAAATCTGTAGGTATCTATTCTTAGTGATAATATTATGATTGGATTGCAATGAAAATAATTTTTTTTTTTTTTTTGTTGATCCCAACCATTGCTTTCCGAGTACATAATACGATAACAGATTCTTCAAAAGTAATACTTTTGTACATTTTTTATTTGTATTTTTCAATATGCATTGATTTTTAAACCATTTTTTACATTTTTAAGTGCGTTTAATACGTTACACGAATTATTAATTTAAACTGAATTAATTCAAAGAAGTGTCTCAAGAAATATTGTTTTCATATGTTTTTTTTTTATATTTTTTAGGTATCATTTGTCAATAAAGATTATTAATCGTCCTATTTATGATTTCTATAGTGTTTATATATTATAGTATTAATAAACGTTGTGTGTCACCAATGTTAAGCAAATAACAACTAGAAAAGTAAAACCTTTAAATTGCATTTTTCCATTTTTAGAGAATTTGTAATGTCTTTAGGTCAATTTTAAAGGGTTTTATTTCCCTAGAACTTAAAAAGCATTTTTTAGGGGCATATTTGACTATATTTTGTAATTATACTCTACATGTAAGAGTTTTTACATCCATAAATACTCTTCGCCACATACCTTAAACAACCTCTCTCCAGTTTTAGACCTTCAGGCTTTCCAAATCTTCTTCTACCTACCTCTTGCATTTTCTCATAAATCTTCTTCTCTGAAATTGCACTCCATATATCATAATACTCCGTCTATTTATGGAATTTTTTTATATACGTTCCCATTTGAAAAACTCAAGTTGTTGGCACTACAAGATACTCTTTAAATGTTTTGGAAAATCTAAGTATTCAAAATTCTCGGCTTTAACTACACTTAAAAATTCCAAAAATTTGAATAATATAGGCGAAAAAATGGAGTGAGCTCGCTTAGTGAATCGTGCTGTATATTCTTCCAGATTTTTTTTTTTAACTGTCTACGACCCGAGTAGAAAAATTATAATTCAAATTAATAGACCTAACGTTTTCAGGGGTTTTTATTATTATTATTTTTTTTTTTTTGGTGACAAGTAGACTTTATATTACCTGTATACTTATAAGATATTGAGTCCGACCATCGTTCATAGTATAGACCTCGCCAAGACCCGGCACCGCGAAATTAACGTATTACATCGTATTACAACCCTTCGACGATAATTTATATATATACCCATGCAGTGTATATTATAAGGCGAAATTACTGACCGCGGGTTCTACGGCCGACCCCAAGCTACGCGGACGACGGCAGAAGAATTTTAATCGAAATAGGAAGTAATTTATTGTTATTGCCATCGTCGTCGCTGTATACAGCAACGGGATCCTCTAAAAATTAAAGTACTTAACTATACTCGTATCATTATTATATATAATATGGTAGCGATCGAAACATACGTCATTTTGCCCCGTGTAATAACCTATAAACAGTTTTCTACGAAAACCTCTCGGAAAATCTCTCGAGAAAATAAGGAATTTTCGGTTCGTGTTTCTCTAATAATAATAATGGTTGTAATAATATTATATCCGGTGTTTAAATAATATACAGGCCGGTCGCACAAATAATTTGCGTACAGGATACGTCATCATAACAATTTGGGGCCCGGATTTCAAACTCGCAGTTCTTTTTTCTCCGGTGATTTATGACAATAATATGTTTTCCCAAGTACGCAATTAAATAATGTAATGTAATAAATAATCCGAAAATGAAACTTTAATTTTTCGTTTTAAGCTCCTTATCCGTTATTTGATAATTTTTCAGTGCATATTTATATACATTATGCGAATTAATTGTTTGAGTTTAGATAATTAAAAATATTATCTGATAAAATTGGCTTGAATAGGTTTTATAGTTAAAATCTCTGACGATATAGATTTTTAATTTTTCTGTTTGCGTTTTCGATTATATATTTATCTTATATTATATTTAAACTGACGATTGTAGAATACGTCACCAGAATAAAAAAAAAATAACAATTATAAAGCGAAACTAATTAATTATTCAAAAAAGTACAATGAAAATCAATATATGAAACTCCGAATACACCAACTAGAAAAAATTGTCAACACGCTACCACCCCTATCAATCGATGTTAGCAGTAAATTTTCTGGCCGAAAAGTGGTTTAAAGATAGTGGGGGAGGGGGAACACACACACTACGGCAAAGCGTGAAATATTATAATTTACCATCGCTTCTATTGTAACGCTTAAGCGCCAGTTTCTTATGGCATGTAAATTTAGAAGGTAATTAAAAAACATTATTTAAATGAATTTATCTCACAAAGTTAAATACTGGTAATCTTTGATTCATATATTTTACATTAACAATCTATTTTAAGTGTATTTTTTCTTCTCAATACAATTGATAATTAGTCACGTGTTATTGGCTGGGATATGTTATGTTGATAAAAGGTCGGGAAACACCTGTTTTCTCAGTATTGATAATAAGATCGTTGTTGTCAAACTATAAGATACATGTTGTTGTAGTTTAAGTAACGATACATTTCCTTTGCTTTACCAATATTTTTCAGGTCGTATAGTTGCCGAGACGAGCACGTCTAGTTATTATTGTTATTATTATTATCGCTACTATGGTGTAATTATTATTTTTTGACGATGTCTCGAAGACGATTTGACATGACTCGTCCGTTATTAAAATAGTAGCTATAATAATATCGCGACCGGGTCGAACGGCGAGCGGTTTTCGACGGGTGGCGTGTGCGGCGGAGAGGAGTCTGTAGACATAGGTACGCCGCGGTTTATACCGCGGACACCGCGAACGTCGGCGTCGTTGTTGTCGAACGAGAGATTTCACATTATCGTACACGCGGGTCAATCATTATTATAATGTCATTGTAGGCGATATAGTGACGACGACGAAGACGACGGGTAAAATCGATTTTTCGCGGTCTCCGGCGTATTATTGTACGGATGTTTTATTTGCGCGCGGGAAAAATAAAAAAAAAAAAAATATAATATAATAAAATATTATACAATAATAATTCATTTCATACACACGCGCACGGTTAGGTTATAGATATATTAATATTATTATACGATCAATACACGCGCGGCCGACACCGACGATGTGTCATAATAGTTATATAACGGATCATCCGTGTGACGGTATCGTGTATTAGTATTACGCGGTATACAGGGCGATTCGTGTTGTTTTTTTTTTCTTTCTATTTTATCACGAACCGGCTATCATTCAGATACAGACGTGACCACTGTGTGTGTAAGGTGTGCGGTAGCCCGCCCGCGGGTCGCGTCGAGGAAATTCTTAATTCGAACGTACAATAAAATTAGACGTATACAAATCATATAGACGTATATTACCTAATTAGCGGACTGGGTTTATACGGGAAAAAAACTAGTAACCGATATCGAGTGACAGGAGCGACAGAGAAAATTGTGGAATGAGGGGGGAAAGAGGCATTCATGGAAGATATAATACGACGTCATTATTTACCTACGCAATTTTCATTATTTATCAATTTATCAGATTGACATGAATATGGATCACGATTGGTATCCACAATAATTGTACTATGGATATGCATAATCAATTTCACGATGTAACGAAAATACAGAAATATTCCATCTATAATTGCCCCGTATGCCTTAACTATCACTATCCTTCTCACTAAACGTTTTTCACGAACATCAACAATTGGGGGAGGAGGGGGTGAGGAAACCATAATTTATTTATTAATATTTCTATATAATAAACACAAACTGAATAATTTTAGAAAAAATATTCTTCTCATATGTGACATTAAATATCATGCGTTATCGTATATTTGATCCACAACAAAAACCTCTTTTAGCTGACTACACAAATTATCAAAATATGATAATTTCCAACGTATATTTAAAGTAATTTCAACTTTTATAACTATATAGTGTTCATAAGCTGCTCTCGTGAACTGTAATTTTTCAAATTAAATATACTATAAAAATGAAATTTAAAAATAATTCAATAGTATGACACACGAAAGTCAAAAAGACCAACCTCGATAATATTAATGGAACATCTCGCTACTGAAGTCACGTATGATAACGTCGTTAAAGAACTATAAGTGTTAAAATCATATATTTAACTCTATAGAGTTATAAAAAGGTATAATAATTAAATTACTTTAAAAGGTTAAGTGCAACAACCAGACAGCTTCATTTTTCAAAATCTGTCATTGAACAAATGACATGAACAAATTACATGTACAAATGCTAAATGCAAATTTATTCAGAAAAATCCTTAACCTGTATTTAAAGAATAATGAATTTTAAAAATTAAACTTTATAACACAGTTTTTTTAAAATGGAACTGTCTAATTATTTACAAAACCCTTCAATTTTTGTTTTTTTTTTTAATATTTTTGAGAAATTTTGTCAGATGATTTTTTTTTACGCGTTTTTTAAAGACAACGTAATCACAGGCCTATGATACATAAATATATTATTTAGTTTTTAAGCGTATCTAATATAATGTATATCAAAATATTATAGCGATATTGACCAATAGCGCAAAAATCTCGTCGTCTATTTTTTACTGAATATTCTAAATTCGATCCTAATTCCGTAATGCAACATATAAATAAATCAATATTTAAATAGCAACTTCAAATCACCGATCTGAAAAAGAGAACGAAATATACTTGCTTTTTTTTTACAAATTTAATTTGCGTACAATCATAATAAATATCAGTTTATCGTTTATGAGGTGTAGCAGTTTAAACAAAATATTGAAAAACAAAAACAGAATTTTAAAAAAAAATATCAAAAGCAAATTTTGTAGATAATCGCTAATTTATTCATTCATGCGATCAAAAAAAAAAAAACAAAATAATGTGTCCATGTAATCAATTTAGTTTTCATTGCTTTTATAACGGTTATCGTCAAAGCGGTATCACTGCTAAATTAAATATTACTTTTCAATATTATCGACGTGCAGAGTATTCAAATATATATTCATTACATAAAAAAAAAAAAATCGAGACAATTTCCAATACTTGGTTTTCTTTAAATCTCACTCGGATCGACTTTTGGGGTTTTTTTTCCGTCGACTTTTTACAGTTATTGTATCGTCAGTAAAATCTTGATAACGCCATTTCTCTCACCCCTTCTCTCCATGAGTAACTCCAAAATGGCCTTTTCTCTTGGTATTATTATTTTCCTTCGGTTTTTATTTTTTTTTTTTTTAAGTAGAGTATCATATAAGAAATGCTATTTTCACACGACGTCGATTTAATAATATCGTTTCCATCCGAATCGTTTTCAAAGTCTGCGGAAATATTTATCAAATAAAATATAAATTTTATATTGTTTGTAGCCCAATTCAGATGAACTCGGAAATTCGAAAACATGACGTCAGAGTGGAACTTTATACTTCTAAGTTCAGCGAAAATAGTGTTAGAAATCTATCAATTTGTAGCAAAATTGACACTAAATAAATATAACATTAGTTATTTGCACCATCTCAGATAAAAAAGAAATAGGAATTTTAATTTGCACCAAAATTCAAATCAATTATTCTTTCGATAGTATCTAAGTACAAGTTTCAATCTTGAGTGGTTATTCCACTTACCTATTTACACCGTTTTACAGTAGGTCAGTTTTGACTTAAAAGCTACCTTAAAACAATAATATACGACAGATATATTATATAATACGAGTATAATAATTGTTTTATTTTAGGCCAAAAAATAATTCAGTATTTTTGTGCTACAAATGAAAAGTCGGAAACCCTTGGATTAGTATTTGGTCAAAATAACAAATTATACGATTACAACGGATAGTCAATTACCAAATTTTGAAATAATTAACAAATAAGGGTAGGTAATAATACCGAAAGTAAAGTTAATATATTTTCTTACTTTTAGTGAGAAAATGAAATATTACAAAAATATATGAAAGTTTGAAAATATCATTCAAATAATGTAATAATAATTAATGTTGCATAAAAGTAGTGTATATTTATTATGTATTTATAAATTCATTCTTTAGAAACAGAATATTTTTGCAAAGATAAACTTATCTTAAAGAAAACAAACATTTTTGGATTTGTAAAAATAGTAGTATAGTCTAGTTAAAATTTTCTATTATACCAATGTGGGTTAATCGAATAGCCATTTGACAATCGAACACAAAGATATTAGGTACTCATTTTGGTGAAAATTACAAACACTATTTTCGGATACCAGTAATGGTGCAAATTACATATCTTTATTTTGGTGCAAATTATAAACTCCCCACACACTATACAACAAACAGAAGATTATGGTACGAATAGTTTTTTTAAAAATACGAGCAATGTAGATATTTTAGTGGCACCCTTAAGGCGCGTCCCTAAGGAGGGCTTACATTAGCATTTGGCATAGTCATTGATCCAAAAGTAGATATAATAGATATAATCAATATATTATTTAACATGGCTTTTTAGATTCTGAGTGTACCGAAGAATTTATTGGTTTTACAAAGATGTTCATTATTATTATTTTTTTTTTTTTTTATGCTCTGACCAAAATTTCCACTTTAAATCTTGCCTCGGTATGTACGTGTGACACCATTTCTGAAATAAAATATTGTCTATATGGTACATTAGGAGGTCACGTTTAAATTTTCCAAGCGGTTTTCATAATATTTGGGAAAACCCAGGAGAAAACGGAAAATTAACGAAAATAATGTTTTTATCTTATTTGTTGACATACAGTTAAAAATAATCGTAGAGACTTGAAATTCGGACACAAAACTTTGCCTATTTTTACGCAGTCAAACTGCAAAAACAATTTATAGATACTTTATTTTTTATTTGATAGATGCTCTGTGCATAAAATTGTTAGACAAAACAGAAATGCCTGAAAATTGAACAGGAGGTTAATTATAAGTCGTACTTTGCGGTGGTTTTTGACCGTTGAATAACGTACGATTAACACGGCGTAATTCACTTTTCCGTCAGTAGGCGTAAACAGTGTTTAGACAGCGCGCAGCATATTATTCATTTCCAAAATCGCTCGTATAGCGGAGAACCGTATTATTATTGGTATGCCTAATCGGCGTACGCGTAGCATATTGGTATAGTATATTATTTTGATTTCACACCAGCATTATATTAAATTATATGGAATTTCTGAAGAATTATTATATTATTATTATATGCTCGCGCACGCCCACAGCGACTATTGTGTACCGGTGCAGTGGCCGGGGTGGAACCGTTGGCTATATTATTATAATATAATAGTTGGCGGTAATAATACGGTAGATATTTTTTTAAAATTCGTGACATTTTTTTTTTTTGGGAGGGCATTAATCGGAAAAAAAAAGAGTAAATACATCGACATATAATACGACGGGTTTTTTATGAAAAAAAAATTGCGTGTATGCAACCGAAATTATTTAATCCGATCGCGTGCTATATGTAATGTGGTGATTTCCATAAAACTTTTTTTTGTCGCGGTGGGGGTTAAAGATAATTTTTTTATATATAAAACTAATCTGTATCCCTTGTCATTTTCGACTGGACGTTAGGTTTAGATAAGGTCCGTTTAAAAGCAACATGCCAAATTTTTGATCAAATTGAATTTATGACGCTATTTTATTTAAGATTCCGCAATACAACTGTTAATGTGTTCAAATTTGTGATCAAGTGAACAGAAAACTGTGTAATCAAATATTTGACAAAAAACTTATCTACTATAATCTATCATATTAAATCTGATTTCTAATTGAGTTTAAGACAATGTGATATGCCGAGTTGCTCCTATATGTTCTATGTTCATTTTATTGTCACTTAGTTTTAGAAAAATGAAATAGGTAAGCGGCCCGTGAAGCTATTTCTTAAACGAAAATAGAGAACACTAACTTCCATGGTGTAATTAAACAACTTTTCGGCCAGAAATCATGCTTCAATCAAAACTTTGGTTGGAACTTTCTTGTACATATTGTATCTAGTTAGTGCATTGAGGAAGTCATATTTTAATTTTCCTTGTAGTTTTCCTAACAAATGAGAAAGATTAGTAATTTTTTGTAAAATTTGTTTTAATTTCTGGTTTACTTTTCCAACCAAGGGGAAAATAACAAATAATAATCTGGTCCAAATCATTTTTCGTTAGCTAGGGTTTAATGTTACGCACGGTTACAAATTAAATAACTCTAGATATCCTTTATTTTAACTTCCACTAAAAAACTATAAGCAGTATCAGCAGTATTAGTATTTTTTTATCGTTAGTTCTATATAATATTATTATAAAATATTGGATATTTTGTCATTGAATACTATGCACCTATCTACTAGGTACTATAATATTAATATTAGTTATTACTAAATCTAAATATATTATAGACAATTTATTAATTGGTTGCATGTGATGTTTAGATTCGACCATTACTCGATCAATTTCGCTTAAAACGTCATAAAATTCAACCCCTTATGCGGAGTTCACACAAGAAATTTTTCCTTAAAATACGAAAATCGCGCCTTTATTTTGTTTGTATTTTCATTGGTTATATGGAAAAAAACATCTATTTCACGGGCAAAGCCGGGTAATACAACTAATGTAATATTATAGTATTAGTTTCATCTGAACTGTTCCGTGGAAAACGATGAGACGTTAATAATATTGTACACGTAATGAATAGATAAACACGTAAAATAGTTTTGTATATTGATTAAATATATACATAATAATATTTTCCAATCGTTTTTAACATTCAGCGAAATCCACAAAATATTATCCAATAGAATTTCAATTGGCGCACCGGATTGATAAATAATATTTCTACGGTATATCTATATGGTATCTATAGATACAGTGTATATATATATAGTGTAACTACTGCAGTTGAAAATATAAAACGGTTTAAAATGAACGAGTGTCTTATACGGTATTTTCGATTTTTTTTTCAGCCATTCCATACGAAAAACAAACCCATAAACATAAAATATAGGAAGAAAAAATAAAAATTTAATAATTCCTTGTGCATGCTTCATGACAATAAATAAAATATACAAGCACGCGATCCTAAATATAGTGTTACGTGGCTGTTCGTACAATATAGTCTTGTTGTTCAAAAATAAAATTTCAAATTATTTTAACAAAACGATCTTTAAAAAAAGAGATAATCCGAGGTGCCCCTGTTGTAGGTAGAAAATTGAGAGAGCAGGATACATAATAAGTTATTAATTTTCATATCTCCTTAACGCGTCATTTAAATCAACTGCAATTCTATAAGAAAATTTCTATAAAGCTTCTGATTGGAGATATATTTCTAGAAAAAAAATTATTTACAGACACAAATAAATACCACACATCATTCCAATACATGCCTCGCTTTACTTTAAATCTAAACATAATAATATTTCATAAAAAAATTTTTCTATTCAGACCTGCAGGTTTTTTTTCACTTTTTTATAATGTTCTCTTCTATAAAAACATCACAAAAACGAATAAACTTTTATGTGTAGTGAAAAATTTTTGTTTTTTTTTTTTTTACTTATAAACTTCGGTCGGAATACTGTGAATGCATTAGTATTTTTTGCCATTTATTATTTCGACCGGAGAAGGTAGAAAAAAAACAATAAAATATGTATTACACGCGTACAACTATGCAATATGATGTGTTAAAAAAAAAAAAAAAAAAATATATATATAGTAACTTTAAATAATTGGTAAAAAGTAAATAACGATAATATTATAACATTTTATTTTCGGGCTGGAAACAAATTAATAATAAATACACGCTGAATCAATATGGATAAACCGTCCGAATTGAATTTTTTTTATTTAGGTACTGCAATAATTTAAAAAAAAAAAACACCCCAGTGTATTTCAAAATAAAAAATGTATCGACTTCGATTAACTCGAGCATTTGTGTTTGGAAAATAAATATACTTATATTAGCGTTTTATCAACGTGGTATATTTTTGAAAACATTTTGATCTATTTATAGATAATTAAAATATTTGCATCACGATAATGTGAAGTGGTTGGACAGGCGAAACAATGGCGGTGGTTGAGATAATAGTGTACTCTAAGATATTAACTACGATACACAATGAAAATTGTATTCATTATGAGGTTTTTTTTTTCTCTTTATTTTCAATATTTCAGGGTAGCTGTGGACCGAAAAAAAAAAAAGAAGGAATCAATGGCCGCTGCATTTGACTTGCTTGGTGTAGAGGAGGGGATTTGGGTGACCCGTGTAAAGCAGTAGTTAACCATTTGATACGACCCACAAAAATGTATAGCATTCTTATGATGTTTCAATAAAATCCATAATTCAGTGCTATTTACTTAGTAAATTATACTAAACAATTAATTGTAGCTACCGAAATCGCATTTGTGTACAATTTTTTTATTTTAGCATTTTTCCTAAAAGCAATTTTTTTTAAAAGATCAAACACTAAAACTCATTATGAACAATCCATAATATTTACATGTAATATAACATTGATGTAAACTGATATAATATCATTATAATTTTTAATAGCGTTAAAAATTGTTATTATGTATTCTGTCAAATTTGATTTTTATTAAAGAAGCCCTCAATAAAAAGTTTAAAAAAACAAGACCCGAACGGTTAAAAAGGTTGCCGATCCCTGGTGTATAGCATCGGCGATGGTGGTATATTTTTAACATAATAATTCGCGGATGCGCGTGTAAAAGGTGTCAAGTCAATAATTCAGAACATTTCAAAAGAGCCAAAATAAACTTGAAATAAAAACGCAATGCCATAACGTGATCCATATTTTAAGAACTGTAAGTGTGTTCTATATTGTGAAACATATTTTCTTACATTTTAATTTTCAAAATTCAGCTTTTTTTATTTTTATCAATTAAAAAAAAAAAAACAAAAGTTGTCTTAATTCTCTTAACACATAGATTTAAATAAATTTTTTAGTAACTATAATTGATTAATAAAACATAAAATATAGGTATAATTGACTTTTTTTTACATACATGACACATTTGAAAGATACATTATAATTTAAGTCACTGCAGGCTGCAGTATAATGTGACAAAACTTAAACACAAAAAAAAAAAATAAAAAACCGTTATTTGTCCTAAACGCACATTGATATAACATGATCGATATAAGAAAAATTAGTTTAACATATCCTACCCGAAAAATAGAGATTTTTTTCTGAGATATTTTTGTACATAACTCAGTTTTCAAAATTTGATGAATTAACACCTTCATTATGTGTGTGGATTTTCAAGTATTTACTCGTATGTTTTTACTAGAGATACAACATATTTTTTGTTACCGGTTTTTTAATTACAGTGCCGCCTCACAGGCATTACTCCACCGCTAACACTACCGCAACATACCAATTTTCGAAACAAAAATAAAATTATTTCCGTCGATATCTTTGGTCGCACTCGGATGAGATTAAAAAAAAAAACTCATACCTTATTAGGAATAATGGCTATTTTTCCCAAACTCCTCGTTTTTAACCGTTATTTCCGCATGATAACCAACAAATCGACAAATAATAACTTTTATTTATTATTTATGTGGCCAAGGTAATACAAACTAACAAAAAAAATATTCGATTTTTGTTCTAAAAATAATAAAAGACTGTATCAGTCTTTAACATATTAAATTACGGAAATCGGATCTTCCAGGTGCATCTACTGTCTCGTTTGTTGGCTTCTGTATGTAAAAGTTCAGATTTTTCACATGCAGATCGTGTGATCAATTTCGCCATGTACCAAACAGATAATTTCTATTATTCATGTAATACCCCAATTTTCTGGGAGTACTCTTATTTCTAAAATAGTTAATTTTTGAAGCCCAATAATAATTTATGTTTTAAAAAGGGTACTTCATTTTCTTTAATAATCAAATTAAATAATTGTAATTGGTTTTTTTTTCATCCGTGTCACCCATAAATTAATCAAAAAATTAAATTTGTACGTATTTAAATACCAAATTTCAAGTGAAAGCCACCCTTAAGGATTAAAATTCGTGGTAAAAAATAAACAAGAGATTTGTTTCTTATTTTGCTTGTTAAGCATGCAAATTTCTATCGAGGTATCTATCGGAATAAAAATATATATTTGTAAGACAGATAGACAAGATCTCTGCACGGTTTATGTTTTCAAAAACCAAAATGAACCAGTGATGTGAAATTAAGTCCAGGACCGGACCGAACTAATAAAATAAACGATGGAACCGGACGTTTGAAAATATACAAAGACCGGACTTGACCCAATAAGGACTTTTTTTATTTTATTGTTCATACATTTTTATGTTAAAAAGGATCTATAAGTTATCTGTTCCTTGTATAAATATTTTTGGGGTGGCACCGTTATTTGAATTATCCTAGGGCAAACCTCAATTGAAAAATATTTATTTTTAATAAAACTAAAATCAATATTCTAAAATTTAAATAGACGTTAAATAAAGCAAATCACACATCTCGAATCAAGAGAGTCTTTCGTTTGATTTAATGATAAGATAAAAAAAAAAAACAAGAATAAATCAATAAGAAACAGTCCGAAACTCGTAAATTGCACATCTCACCATGCGGTTTTTATTTATATGTATTTAGTTTAATAGGTAGCTAATTTGTGTTTAACTAACCACCTTCCACATTTGTTTCTACCAAGGTACTAGAATATTGATTTTTATAGAGTAATATATGAGATACAGCAAGAAAATATTATTATTCTCAAATAAAGGACTTTTAAACAACCGTTTCGCGAATTTTTAGTTTCAATGAAAAAAAATGAACTTTAATACTCAGTAACCCAATAAGTTTATGCAAAATATATTTATACTCCAATTTTTTGTAGATTTTAACAAAAAATACTGGGTACTGTCCATAATATGCATAATGGATTTTCCATACCTTGGATTAAAAAGTGTTCATTCTCAGGCTCTTTGATAAGAATGATACCATATACCAAAGTATACCACTACACATATTTTTGTAGATTCAGCTGCAAAATAAATAATGAGATATAGGTACGGTATAAATTCAATAATATAGCGTTTTTATAATATTATCTACAATCAATATTCCACAAAGATACAATTTTAAATGTCTGGATAATGATAAATAACATAATTTTTTTTTAATTTCATTACCTATCATAAAATTAAGTGCTATAACTGTAGCTCAGATATGGCAAATATCTGTAAATTTAAAAAAAGTTTGTGTGTTTCACCATTAACGATACGTTTTAATATAAACTGTAAAATTACATCTATAAATAAAAAATATAATATTAAGTGATATCGATTATATGATATCAAACGATTTTTCAAGACGCTTTAATAATTTAATATTATTATCTCGGATAACGGAGGAGATTACCCGGTTTAATGAATAAAACATAATATGTATAAGATAAAATTACACCTATATCTAAATAATTTAACCAGATGAAACGCTGAAATCGGACGGTCGGCAACCCTAATTTTCAACGGATTAGCGATAATTGATATGTGCGTTCACGTAAAAATAAGACGGTTATAACGTCGTAAGACAAATTACCGCGCACCCTATTGTTTGTTTATGACTTACAAGTTTGCGAGAATATAATATTGTGGATGCAGTATACTCGTGTATATAATAATATTATTATTAGGTTGTAAGTACACTCGATTTATATACAATTATAATTATTATAGTAATTAAACAAGTATCTTAAAACAGATTATACTTCTCGGTTTCTTTCGGTTATACGTGTTATGGCCGCAATTATGTTATTATACACTTGTAAAAAAAAAAAACAAAAACAACGGACATTAAATTAAGTTTTCTAATTTTGCAGCACGAGCATATTAAATTCTGTTAAATCACGATCGAATTATGTGAACTTATAAAACTTGTTTCAGAGCGTCGAAAATCGGTGTCTGTGAAAAAATATTGCAAAAATAAAACACTATTTATTTACAATCGAAATATTATAACATTATATTGGATCCACTCTGAAAAATAATAGATATTTCTATGGTGTAATTGATGTAAAAAATATTTAGCTCAAACGGTAGTAAAGAATGTAGAACCGAGTTGAAAACAATTTTATCTCCAAAAGTCTAAGGAAAATACCAAACTCAAAAAGAGCTAAAATAGTTTGGAAGCTATAGGTATACTAACGATGTGTAGTTTAGAAAACTATATCGTTCATGGAAAGAAAAATGAAATCAAACTCCGTTCAGAATTTATAAAATTATATTTTTAACGAAAATATTACATCTACTCGTCAAAATATTAAATTGCAAAAATCTAAATAATGATTAAATTTGTATTTCCGGCGAAGGCGACATGGCATTAATTTTTCGATCCGGAAAACACTAGAGAATTTTTTTCGTACAAAATCAATACGGTTCGTTTAAAAATACACTACTGTCACCATATTATACGATCATAAACCGAAAGAAAGAAAATGCATAGCTGCAAGCAGTCTTCCTAAGCAAATATATTTGTTTGTTTATTGCAATAGAATGAAACCATGGTTTAATGAAAACCTCGAAGACCCTTTTGTTTTTAATCTTATAATTTCGCGTACCGAACGAGACTTTGATTTAAGTCGAAATCAGTGGAGTATTCATTACTTGTTTTTTTTTTATGGGAGGAGGGGTATATTAACATAATTTAGACTAAATTGTAATGAGTCCACTATTATTATAGAAGGTTGTGTACCTCTAAAGCGGGGCGTAAACCCTCAAAACCCCACTCCCGAAAATACGTTGCTAATTCACAATGACTCAGAAATCATATCGTCCAGAAACCAACACGCGTTATAATATTGTATAGAATTATTAAAAATAATAGTTCGAAGATTTGTAACATTTAAATACAGATGTGTATAATTTGATATAATAATATTATTATTAAATCGCAATATAATTTTTTTTCAAACGACCTGTATTTTAATATTTAATCAGACAACATAATATACAGTGTTATATTACTATGGCGAAATGTTTTAGATTCTGAGATTAGCGAACAATGTATTAGTTTTACAAATAAGTATATTTTTTTTATATGAACACATCTTCAATCAGAAACCTTGCTCCAATTATTAAGTATACCAAATTTCCTGAAAAGAAACGTTAACTGCGTAGTACTTTAAAGAGGTCATTTTTTAAAAGTTCTCATTTATACTCGAGATAATGAAGAAAATATGGTTCTTTAGGTTAAAACAGATTGAAAGATTAAAGTTAACATTGGCATTGGCAACCGTTTTTATTTATTTTTTGTTATTATTATATTTTTATTATTTTAAATCTTTTTTTAAACAATCATTATTGTAATGGAAACGCATATTGTTGTAATAATTGTATTATAATATAACATTTACAGGTATACCATGAGAATTCGAAATGAAAAATGGATATTCCGGTTTTTTTTTAAAAAAATTTAAATAAAATTTAAAATTTTTTTATTTTTAGTAGTCTTCCATACAAAAAAAAAAATGATCATAAATAAACTGTAGCATTGAAGCATACTAATTATTTAAAAAAAATGTATATCAAAATTATTGAATAGAACAAAAATTATTTCATTTGTTGGATCCTCGTGGGACACCCTGTTTTTCATTGCAAAGTAACACTATCAACTGAACTCGGCTCAGAATCGTTTTTTCGATTTATGGTTATAGCCGAATAAATTACTATCGTGTAAATAAAAAAATGAGCAATCACAGAACACGAATTTTCGTGTAAAAAAAAAAAAAAAAAAGACGTCTTAGAACAGTGGTAGGGTGTAGAAACAGTTATAGGTAATTTAATGTATATCTGTATTCAACGATAAACCATTGCTATTAAAATAACAGTTCTGAGCGCAGTTCAGTTGATAGTGATGCTTTGTCAACAATATATGTGTCGTATGATGATAAACATGCATTAAATATTTTCTTTAATAATATGTGTTAAAAACTGTATCGATTGTCCCATTTTTCCGGTTTTCCGGTTTGGTTCATCGGAGCAAGATTTTTGGTAGAAAAGTTTGCACAACAAATCGAGGGGTATTTTGCGATTAAAATAGTCTGAGTGAGCGTTGGCTTGGATCTCCAGGTACACCCGAAATGCATTTGTTTTTTCCTTGTTTATGTAAATGAAAAAAAAAATGCAAACAATGTTTTTTTGAAACACGAGTTCGAACTCGCAAAACCCTAGGATGGAAACAGGTATATACAACGATTCAGCTATGATAAAACAAACTTTATAAAATACAATACTTAATTATTTAACATAGCATATAATATCAGAAATTTAAATACCTATAATTTCGAAACTTAGTCAATCGGTTTAGTTCTGACTTCACCATCGTTCTTGAATCGGTAATATACATATTTTCAAAAAAAAAAAAAAAATTGAAAATTTATATTTGTTCCACATCATTTTTTACTCAACGATTTTCGTCAAGAATTGATATTGAAATTCCTTTGCAAAAAAAAAAAAAAGTACAATTCTTTTTTTTTTACCACAAAGTAAGACTCCCAATGAACCTCCTATACTATTTTCAATCATTTCTATGAAGTCTACCAATTTTACCATAGAGTACCTATCGAATAAAAATTACGTACAAAACTCGCAAAATTAAAATGTCCATAAATAGTTTAGAAATGGCTTAAAATTTTAAAAATTTAACTACGTATGGAAAAGGCAAATATACATTTTCTTTTCAAATTTTAATCCTCTACGAATTTTTAACTAAGTTATAAAAAATAACAAAATTGAAAAATAATAAGAGTATTATTTTAGTAAACTAGTAAAATTTTTGTACACAGTATAAAAAAAATAAATAAATAAATAAACATCTTAGCAAAACCAATACATTTTTTGCTATATTCAAAATTTAAAAAAATAAAATAAAATTAGAGCATAGAGCATTTGAAGAAGTTTTGAAAGTTGAAACCTCCAAAAGGCACTTCCATGATATATATATGATTGCATATATGACGTTCTATCTCCCTGGAATTCTTGTCGGGGGAGGGATATAGAGGAGTTTAAAAAAAAACAAACACCATCCTTAAGGAATAAGATGGTTGCATTTAGTCCAACTTCTATTACTTTAATGTTCCTTCTAAAAAAAATTCTGATTTTCGAGTTTGAACTTTTTTGGTCCAGAGGGAGCCGCTAAAAGTATCCAAAAGTTGTAAGAAAAGAAGAAATAAAATATACATAACGGACACGGATAAATAAAGAGTAACATCGTTTCTTTTTGGGGGAAATTCGAGAAAAATATCAATAATATTAATATAAATATTTTTTTTAATACTTTACATTAATAAAAAATAATAATAATAATAACCACTTGCTTTTTTTCCCATTTGGGTTTTTTTTTTCCACTTGTTTTTATATCTAACCTCAAATAATTATCGGGTTACCGTGGAAAAAAAAAAACAAAATAAATACGCTGTGCAATTATTGCTGCAGGGTCCTATCCTTAAACCACCAATGGATGATATTTAGACGTTTATTGCCATGCACGTCCTGCGGAATAATAATATTGTAACAACGTTATGATAATATTAAAATAACGAAAACGTTTTGGGTCATCGCAGTTATATATATAGCGCACAAAACGGACGGACACAATTTTTTCGGGGTTTTTTTTTTCTTTCATTTTATTTGCGCTCGAGATCCCGGTCGAAAAAAATAACACTGCGAGATAATATGTATTCCACCGCTCCTCCTGTTGTTGTTTTTGTTGTCAGAAGAGCCGAAAAAGTTCTCGGGCAAACGTCAGGAGGAACGGGAACAACGGGTTAGGAAAACGAGGAGATGATGAAGGAGGAAGCTCGCGTGCGAAGTACAAAACCTAGTACCATATAACTTTTATATTTGGTATTTTTTCGCTCGATTTTTTTTTTTTTTTTCTGTTGGTCGGTTCGGTTTATTTGTTTCGGATCTTTCTCCCGGGTGTGAGATTCCATACCGTCATCGTCATTGTTATTATATATGTATATTTTCGTCCTTTCGGACGGCGGCGGCGACTATGGGGATTAAAATTTACACGACGACTCGGTCCGCGAAAAAACCGCAGCTGTCACTAACGACTTTCTTTCGAAACAATAATATTATTAGTACTGTTATTATTCGACGTCGTCGGCCCTCACGCCGTTAAAAAAAGAAACCTCCTACTATACACTATATATACCCGAGTAAGGCTTATAATTACTTTTATAATCCTTAATCGTTAAACTCGCGATCTCGTCGCTATCCGGAAAGATATTATACTGTCGTATTGTTATTATAATTATACAGTGAAAAAAAGTGGAAAACTCGATAAAATTGCGGTTAATCATTGAAATATCACGGCCGGAGGCATTCTCACGAGAAGGAGATGAGGGCATCAAATCTCTCCTTGAAATTTTTATTTCTTTATTTTTTTATAACTGATTTATGCTTTATGAATTTCCTGTAATTATCGTCTGTTTTATTGATATTATTATAGTTGCTTAAGCTCTTAGATGAAATGTTTAAAATGAAGCCTAGACAAATTGACTTGATTTTGAAACGTGATGATACAAAATATTTTATACACCTAATATTATTGTTTTCATTGAATATAAAAAAAAAAAATTAATAAAAATAGTCTAATGAAAATGGTTATGGCCTATAATGGCTTGTACCAAAAATTTAATGAAAATTTTATTTTATTTTATGTAACGGTAATAGGAAATTGCATCCCTTCCCAATGTGAAAAAGATATACAGGCCACTAATGACAATGATATCATAGCCACCATTAATGGACTGCGCTAAACGAACCGAACTGCTTTTTCTTCATCCCCCCTCTCCGCCTATGATGTTTGTGAACAATATTGAGCGAGAAAAAAAACAATAGTTAGGATCAATGTTTGATGAAACACTTCTGTATTTTTATTATGCCATGAGATTCATTATGAGTAATCAATATATAAACATAATGTATCCAAAGCCTATCCAAGCCATATCAAGTCTAATAGATGGATAATCAATGACAATTGCATGGTGTAAATACATATATTGTATCGTTTATTCCATGATTCCTCCAACAAGCATTGTTTATCTTACTTAGTATGGGTCATAATATAATTAATTTATTAATGTATCTATACAGAAGACACGGATAAAACACCTGACGTGACTTGCAGGTGATAGAAGATGAAACAATAAAATCATCAATCAAGTACATATTTATTATAATTTAGACTTAATAAAACTAAACTGCCGCCGCATGGAGCCATTATGCAAAATCATATTGTTTTTAGGCGACCACGAAAATTTTTTAATTATTGATTTATCTTATAATAGTAGCCGTTAAACAAATGTACAGAAAGTTAAAAACAATAAGTTATAATAACATTAGCATTAATTATTTTATTAGTTGCCAGATGTAAGCCAGACGGCCTGTTTTTTTTTTCTGTACTATCTATATGACTTAAGCATTATTTTAAAGTCGTATCATAATATATTTTGTATATAGTAGATAGGTAAACATTTTTTTTTTTTCAGAAAGTCGCTATATCGACATTGCATTTATCAGTTTTAGAACAAGATATTACGGTTTTACTAAAATATGTTTTCTTTCTCGGAAAACATTTATTTGATTACTAAAAATGGTAAAAAATATTCGCATCGTATAAAAGATTAAAATATGCGAATTTTTTACCCAGTGATTGTATTCTATTTGAACAATTCTTCTAGATTCTCGATATTTTTTCTAAAAATATTTAATAAAACGTCAATACTATTATACTATATATTGTATATACTATAAATATCAGTCTATCCATCTATCGAGCTCTGCTTAAAATCATTTTTTAATCGCGATTGTTTTAAGTTGCTTTAGGTAGGTATATAAACTAAATTACCCTTTAATATCCTACGTGTTTCCTTCAACATCCCATTTACAACAGTGGCCTACCCATAGCGTGAAATATGTCTGAATTTATTACTTCCATTAAAAATATTGACATCAACTGTTAAATCCAGGTATGTGTAAATGAATGTTTATAATTCGATTTGAGCGTAAGACAAAAATTATATAGATATTATAATGTCAATGTTGTCATTATTTATAAGTATAGACATTATTGTAATCCATTTCAAATATTAATTTTAATTTTCCAATTAGAGTTTTTCGAATATTCTAATATTATTATTTTAATGATTTTTATTATTGTTACTCGCTAAACAGTGATTAATTGATTAATTTACGATATGTCGTACGTTTCCTTAACAGTGCCTAAAACAATATTTCGTTTTATCGATGCGACAATTTGTTAATTTGTTTACGTTGAATACTATGGAATAAATAGTGAAAAAACATAAGAAAAACGGGATCGTTTACAGAAATAACCATTTCATTATGTTCAATTTTGATTTGTTATTGTTATTTGGTTAAAAATAATTTTAGAAACTTAAAAAATTTAGAAAATATAAAAATTATATTTCTCTTAAATTTTTACTTATTGAAATTCCACTGTACTTATAGTAGCATTGTCTAGACAATGTTTCATGTTCTGAAACATTCTGGAGAATTTTAAGATATTTATATGCATCGGAATTTATCACGTTTTTAGTTTTTATTTGGTTTAATGCAAATCAAATTATTTTAACCCGTCATAAATGCTTGATAATTTTACACGAAGTATATTATAATTTGTACTTAATGGAAAAAAAGTAGAGCGTATTAAGTAGTCTTTTTTTTATACGAGTTTGAAGTTAAAACTTAAATTAAAACCATAAAAAAATAATTGCATTTTAAAACATATTATTTAACCAAACCTTTGTTAAGAGTGTCGTAATTCGTTATAGCAATGATTTACTGTTGCGATATAAATTAAATAATTCTATGTTATCAAACCTATGTAATCCTATGTAATCTTCCCAACTTATTTCTTAGAACACTTATGAGCATTATTGGCCATTTTTTATACAGTTTTCTATTTTTGTACCACCAACGCCGGAGCAACAGTCGATGACAATAAAAATTTCGAAATTATACCAGTATTATTAATATAACATGAAAAAAGAAACCATAATCACCGATGTATAAAATAATATGATTATGGTTTTAGAGTCTGAGTGGAACAAAGAATGTATTGGTTTTACATGATATTTATTTATTTATTTTTTTTATCTGTGGAACAACTTTTTTACCAACAATTTTGTTCCGATTTACTATGATAACACATTTTCTGAAAGGAAATAAGACTGGGAATGATACTTTAGGAAAGTCGTTTTTTGAATCACCCAGATGTGTTCATAATAAATTGGAAAACAGGTACAATATTAAACAAATATTATTAAAGGAAATATATAAAGCATGTGTAATTATTTTACCATAATATGATGTGTGTATATTTATAAAAGCAACACTACTAACTGAACTCCACTCAGAATCGTTTTTCGTTAACAATGGTTAATCGTTGTGTACAGATTAACATTAAAATTCCCCTTTACTTTCCCAACTTAACATCTACAACAGTAGCGAACCCACGTGCGAAAAATATGTCCGTCTTTTTTTTTATGTACTACGATAATACTTACTCGTATTTTATTAGACCTCAATACAATAATAGTATTAAGCAAGATAACAAAAAGTACAATATCAGATGAGTTATAATAGAATTATACATAAACATTAAAATTTGACTGTAATAAGGAGGAGTCTTTTTCAAATTAATACATTAGGAGACATTAGTCGCCTAATAAACTCACTCTATAGGTATTTAGTGGTAGAGTTGGTAATAAGGAAAGGAACAGTAGTTCTAGTAGTTCTCAGAGGAACCATATTGAAGTTGACCAATGCGACTAGGACAGAAGAGTCTACTCTACTTTCTTATGTAAGCCTATACACGCCGACAAGAGATAAATTAATTTTCATATAAATCATAATAATATATTCAACGCGAACATCACTCGACATAAAAATATTATTTGCTGCTCGAGTTGCCGGCTTTATTATCAAAAGCATCGCAGATTTTAATTAAATTTGATTGTATATATATATATATATATATATACACACTGCTCCAGTGTCGTTGCAACTCTCGGGAATTATAAGGTCTTAATTAACAATATTTATAAATCGTATAATAAATATCTTGGGCTCTTCGGGTTTGGCGTTTTATAGGCTTTGACAAAAATATAACGGCGTTTCAACAACACACAAATCTTATGGTTGATTACACAGCGGCAGTATGACGAGCCTCGATTTCGGAAATAAATTCAATTCGGTGTAATCCTCTTTCATATTCCCGCTGTGACAATATTGGTTCGCAACACCGTTTAAATTCTAAACTATTATCTTTAAACGTAAAATAAAATCATACAATTATATCAGTGGCATATTTAATATTTATTTTGGGGAGAAGGTTGATGATCGAAAAAAAAAATGGAGCGTCGGAAAACCTCTAGGGTACCTCTTTCTTATTAGTTTCCTTGAATTTTTGTTTAGTCCTCCAAAAAATGCCTATTGATTAAAGGTATACTTTTACAATGTTGCGATAAATTATACGATACCAATTTTATCATTACTATAGCGTTTTTTGCAGCAGTTGGTACACTCCTTACAAACGTTGGCATTTTCGAACACATTTTCCAAAATATATTCATCAGTCCATAATCTACTTGATTCACTTTTATCGAATAATAAAAATACATACATTACTTCAAAAAGGATGTCAGAGCCAGATACTTTTAAGAACCTGTGTTTAACAACCAAAAAAAAAAAAGATTCAACTAAAAAAAAAAAAATACGTTATTACATCCCTGAGTTATATTAGTCCAGTGGCATATTAGGAGGAAGATATTGTCGAAGATGAAGATATTAAAATTTGGAATTTCCGTCATAAATCATGATGCCATATTGTATAACGTGTATGTACCCGAATCTCATCTCTTTAATACGCCATTGTATTGTTTGTTGTTAGCATTGTGTTTTATATAGATATAGATTTGTTCGGATTTTTTTTTATCTGGTCCGGAAGAAATATTAAATAAAATACTCAAGATAAATAAATAAAATAATATCACCTAGACCTTTTTGGCAACCTTTTTGTTGCCACGGCCCCCAAATTTGATAGAGAAAAAAAAAATTATTCATCTCAAGACATCCTTATAAACTAATAAGCTTTTATCTGATTTACCAGTTAAAAAATATATTATATCATTAACCATTAACTAAACCAACAACTACTATACGAGAACATTTCGAGTTGTGTATTTAGAAATCAGTCGGAAAAGCCATTGGCCGTGGGTGCCACATCTATCGGCGTAATACGAGATATGAAATACTCGTATAATTTAACGATTTTTATTTATTTTTCAAGCATTTTTTTTTTTTTTTAATTACGTATTCATTTTTTATTTATAATGTAAGTGAAATATTGTTGAGCGATAAATATTATTATTTCTAACCGATGTGACCCCAGATTAAGAAACGATGATCTAGACAAATCATCATTATTATATATATATATATTCAAAATAACAGGTAAAATATGTTTATATAGTTAAATATAGTGTATGGTTTACAAATTAACATTTAATTAACTTTGATCACACGGCCTTTGTTTTGAAATTCAGATGTGTTTCACTTGGTAGACTTTGATCATTTAGTTTTAATCGAGATAACTTTTTTTTTATTTTTCTAGATACAAATTTGTTTTCGTTTGTCTAGATATTGTTATACATTTATTTCGTCGTGAATCCAGATAATTGTTCTAGTAATATTATTATCTCTTATCGTCGTCATTATTTAGATATTTTAAAATATTTATGATTTTATATATTATCAGGAACGACTGTTCGTTGTACTGCAACATATGAAATAACGGGTAATACCCATCATCAAGGAATACCGCCAAGCGTTGTCGTAAAAAAAAAAAAAAAAAAAAAAATGTAATATTCGGAAACTCCATTTTCGTTCAACTATTATAATAATACTGAGTACAATAGGTATTGTGTTTATTCTAAACACTCGTGAAAAGTGTTTTACCCATTAGCGTGCCGTCGCGGCCGTCGTCGTCGCGTTGTGGAATAGACGTCCGCGTTTATCACACTCGGTGTGTGCAAAAAAAAAAACACCGTCTTTCTCGTCGTCACCGTGGATCTACCCGATTTTTTGGTCGAGATAGAAGTACAAAAAAATATATTAAGAGGGCGTACCGTAATTCGACTGTAAAAACTGTTTTGCGCGGGAAAAAATAACTCGCGCTATAGACTTACTTAAGAAATAAAATTTTCACCATAGAAAAAAAAACAAAAATTGTTAAGTTTTATTTTTTTAATATTACGAATGCAAGCAAACAAGGTATTATTTTTTATTAAACGCTGATAATTTTATGTATATTCAAACTTGAATAACTAATCTTGTAATAGTGCCATTAAAAGTGTTAACTGGTAGACCACTGTTGTTGGTGGGGACAGTTGCAAGAAATCAGCATTATTTATAAAAACTAGCGGTTTTGTTGTGTCCATTTGCTTTTAACATGACATTGTATAACCGAACTTCGCTCCAAATCGTTTTTCATTAGCAATGGTTTCTCGTTGGTTACAGGTATACATTAAATAACTTAATGCATCCCACATTCCCAATTACCTACAAACAGCAGTAACCACAACCGTTTCTAGTATCGGCTCTTTTTTTATTTCTTTTGCTGTTATTTGCTCATTAAAAAATACTCTGATTTTGGGGAACGCGTAAAATATTGGAAAATATTTTGTCTAGTTTTTTTTTTTTTCGGAAATATAATAAGTCGGAAAATATTTTGTCGGAAACGTATTTTGTCGAAATTGTGTTTTTTTTTTGGAAAGTTGTTTTTCTGAAAAATAATTAGTCGGAAAATATGTTATCAACCGTATTTTGTCAGAAAATAATTTTTACCCAACGACGATATTATGTAGTAGCGGAGTGATTATGATTAAATTATACTAAACAGTTCCGACAAAATACTTTCCGATGAATTATTTTTTTCAACGAAATTCGGTTCCGACAAAATAATTTCCAACGTTTTATTTTTCCGACAAAATATGATTCCGAGAAAACACGTTTCCAAAAAACCCATTTCCGACAAAATACATTCTAATAAATTATAGCTCTCCGATTTTTTTATGCTGTGCCTTAAAATATGAGGATTTTTTCTGTTTAGATTCTTTTACCGAATTGCTCATATCCTACATATAAAAAATTGGGTTTTTCTTTCGGTGGTCTTATAATTCAGCGTTTTTTTTTTCCAGGAATCGCTTATATTTTAATATTATCAAATCGGTACATAATATTATAACAAGTCAATAGTTTTTTAAACTGATTTTAAAACAATTTTTTACGCAATATTGCAGTAATCTGTAGATAACTATAAACCTTAACCCTCTATTGGGCCTAGGGGCTTGGGTGTAAAAAAATGAATAAAAATGATAACACAGCAAAACATATTTATTGATGGTTTATACCGACAAACTGAATATTAAGACATGGTTATATCAATTGGTAATAGTCTACAATATATAACAAATATAATATTCCTGAAAAATACGGTTTTATTTGCATGTGTAATATTTGCCATAATTTATGCTTCCCATAGAAATGTCGTTTCAAAAAATATTATTATTCCAATAGTGGTTTCACTTCCACGTTGTACTGCGGTTACCTTGAAATATTATTCCATTATATATTTATATTTTTTATTAAAACGGAAATAACGATTTGCGCTTGACGGATTGATAGAGATAAATTTTAGACTGTTTGAATCACTAATATTGTAATAATTAGTATCACGTTCAGCCTATTGCGTTGACCGCAAATATCTTTTCTTTTTTTTTTTACATATTATACGGATCTGCGAGAAAAGAAAATTCAGTTTGGTTCATCGCGATTCAAACAGACAGCATCTACGGACGACTTTACCGTTTTTCAGACCCCCGTCGAGAAATTGGAAAAATATAAAAACGTTTTATCGTAGTTTTTATCGTTTAAGAAACGTTTATGTCAAACTACGCGGTGTGATTTTTTTATCTTCGTGATCCGGCGGTTTTAAGTATGAATTTAATTTATGTTGTTTTGTTTTTAAACCATTAAGGTAAAATTGTGTAAGTGTTATTTTAATACTATATTTTTAAATTTTTACCCAAGTTTGCAGGTTTAAAAATGAGACCGGATCACTATTTGAAATTAGAAACCGCGATAGTACGCGTTTTTGGTTTATACGGGTAACACTGAAATTATTGTTTAAATATTTCAAAAATATCAACAATACGCAACGACCGAAAAACAAAAATCTATTTTACTCAAAATCTCCATGGGTAATCGCTGGATCGTGATAAAATAAAATTCACCCTGTATACATCGACTACTTATACAATAACGTTGAATCGAAGCCATTCGTTGAACAGCTTAAATGTCGATTTTGTCCAGTTTTCAATACAAGCAAATTAATTTTCAAAAATACATACATTTGTACATAATCTAACATACTATAATACATTACAATTTTAACAGTGCATAGGATGGAGTCACTGTCTACGATAAATTGCTCTGCTTTTGGCCACTCATCGTTTTTATTTTATTCGTGAATAGTGTAGTTTTATAATTTATAATTTAATATTCATAATACGGTCATTATTTTATTCGTCTGCATGAATGGGTGATATCAAATATTGGGGAAAAAAAAAAAACATACATCATATAACGGGAAAATGCAATTTTAAAATAATATGAATACTGATTTCCATTCGATAATCTTCTTAAAAGACTTTAAAGTAGGTATTGTTAAACTTATTAAGTATTTATGGTTTAGTTTTAATTTTGTTTTCAATAAAAGCAGTTCGATTAAAATCAATATTATATTATTTTATTATTAATAGAAAACATTTCTTAAGATTAAATTAAATAAATTAAACGAAAATTGACTTAAACTCTTCTGGGACCAGAAACATGATAATAATGTAGATTTAGGTATTTATTAAAGTCGTGCGTGTAATAGAATCGCGTATATACACGTCATATTTAATGGTAAAATTTTAATAAGAGTTAATATAATACCCTTTAAATTAAGGTATACACTTTATATACTTTTATATATATATATATATAAATATATGTATATGTATATTATACTCGTATACGTTTGGGTTGAACTTAAAAAAGTGCCGTGGTTTATCCGCGTAAGAAAATATTAAAATTAGACAAATGTTTCTTTTTAAGCCCCTCGTTATTATTTATGACCCGAAGTTTATAAATGTACAAAAAGAGAAAAAAAACATTTATTTATTGTGCGGTCGGCGCCTATACACGTCTAGTAATAATTATAATAATAATAATAAAAAAAATTACAAAGAGAAACATTTCACTCACCCTTCCCTCTTCCCTTATTAACTGTATATTGCGTAACAGCGCTCAGTCATTTATAAAAAAAAAAAAAAAAAAAAAAAAAATAATAATAACAATAATAATAATAAATAAATTGTCGTTTGAAATTTAATACCGAAACAGATTGTAGGTAGGTGTACGGTACATTATAAAATGCGTGACGACGCTAAACAAAATTATAAATTGCCACTCGATGTTTTTCAAACGCGCCCGAGCGACGACTAAATACGGAACTAAATCACTTGTTTCGGCGCGTGTCGTGTTTTGCACGGAGTTTAATTAGTTCTTTGTCGAAACCCGGGCGATAAACCGAAATTGCAATTTTTCAAAACGAAAATGTGAGACGATATTATAAACACGGCGCGCGACAGTGATGTATTAACATTTCGAAACAATCGAATTATTTACGTTCAGGAAACTACGACTGAGGAGGGACTGTTTATTACTTTTTTTCTTGCGTTCTTTCTTGTATACACATATTATACGAATTATAATAGTATGATGGTATTAATTTTATTTTAACCGTCATATTTAAATTTCGACCCTTCAATGAAAATCACATTCCCCATGAATTTAACACCATTTAAAAATAAACGTTTAGGTTAGATTATCCTGTCCTATCCTATTCAATCCTACACTATTTTAAACGGGAAAGTTTGTTTTGATGTTTGTTAGTTTTAAACCAGGAATAATATTTTGGTTAGTTCCGCCCTGTTATCGACCATTGTAAGGAGAGCTTCTTACTTATAATTATTAGTATTTTAGGTATGAAAATCGAATTTTGTGATACATAAAAGTTGTAACACAAAAAACATAACGATACTGTGAATGGGTGTGCCACTGTTGTAGGTGGGAAGTTAGGGAAGTTAGGGAGATAGAATACATCAAGTTATTTAATTTATATTCGTCAGCAACGATAAACCATTGCTAATAAAAAACCGATTCTGAGCAGAGTTCAGTTGATAGTGTTGCTTTGTCAACAACATAATTTATAGTGTATTATGGTAAAAAAAATACAACAATGTGCGTTTTTATGATAACAATGATTGTTTAAAAAATATTAAAATAATAAAAACTTTAAAAAAGCAAAAAGTATATAAAAACGGTTGCCATTGACAACCTTATTTTAATACTTTCAATCTTTTTTTAACCCAAAACTAAGGTTTTCCTCATTATCTCAAATATTAATGAGAATTTCAAAAAATGACCTCTTTAAAGTACTACCCAGAGAATATTTGATTTTAGAAAAGGTACTATATTTGATAATCAGAGTATACTTTTTGGTAGAAAAAATATTCACATAAAAAAAAAATTATTATAAACCAATACATTCCTCGTTCCACACAGAATTTAAAAGAAAAAATAAACAAAATTAAAAATAATAAATGCATTATTATCCTAAATTTCCCCGTTTTATCTTGTTTTCGGTTTTGCTGAATTATTAAAAAAACACTCTCTCACCCTCTGTTCTTATCCTGGATCCGCTCTTAAATGAAACTTGCGGGTATTTAAACTATTATGACGCAATACTGTTGAATAAATTCCTCTTTATGTAAGACCAAAATTACTAATCCATGGCTTTTAAGGAGAAGAAAATATTTCAAAATTTCAAAAAAATGTCATGTAGTACATTCACTGGTATAATTCTCTTACGGATAAATCTAGTAATAAGTGATTGAATTACCGATTTTCTCATTTTACTATCAATTCGAAAAGTACTATATAAGCACGTAATTCGCGTGAAAATCGGTCGGAATATGGGAAAATTGAAAACCTTACTACGGCACGAGGGGTACTCAAACAAAAGTGCTGTAAGGTTATTTTTTTTTTTATGGATACAAAAAAAAAAAATAATAATAATTACTAATCATTTTATAAGAACGTATTTTCCCAGATGGCCAACACACTGTTGATGATATTACTTGGAAATGTTCGTAAGTTATCAATATTTTTTATAACAAACCCGTCCTATAAACGATGAAATTAACTAATGAGGTAATGAGGTCACACAAATAATTTAGGGCATTTATTTTTTTTCATTGTTATTTGCGTTATTCTAATATTACATTAAATACTTTTAAATAAGTACTTGTTAATTTGTGTATTTTATATACTTCACCAAAGAACTCGTCCCGTTAATTTATAATAATATCATGCACAAAAATAAATCTATAGGGTTTTTTATTACTATAACACGATAACAATCATCATACTTACATACGACGTGCATCCAAGAGGATACGATTTTGGTGTGAAATGACGGTGCGTCCGCCGATACCTCGCATCGGTATTTCCCCGTCATGTGTCGCTGGACGTCTCTGAGCACCACTTGATTCGGCCCCGATTGGCTTACCTAATTTTGCAACACAATCATAAAATCGTATTAATATAATATATTATTCGGTGGATACACAAAAAAGTACGAAACGGATTTTTTGTCGTGTTTTTCAATGAAATAACTAATTTTTTTTTTTAGATATAAGTATATTTAACAATATTATACTATACTGTTGTGGATATTATTTTAAATTGCCCTAGTGATAGGGGTGATTTATTTGATTTCGAGGGAAAATAGATAGTAATTATTATTACAAAAACGAAAAAAAAAACCGATTTATGCTAATTGAATAGAAACTTTTAAAAAAGAATTCGCGTGTTCGTTCACAACAAACAAAATAAATATAATGAGAACAATGCACACGAACGGCAGAAAACTTTAATAAGATTACACGTTTGTAAGAAAAAATATATAAATGTCCATAAAAAATTCTAAAACGTCGTCCGGGAAAAGTATATATACTTACCATTTAACCGTTTTTATTCGTAGAAAATCGTTTAAGAGACGACAAAAACATTTTTTTTTCTTATTTTTAATTTAATTAACTATGAATTAAATTTGCTAAAGTAAAAAGTTTTACGTGTTAATATTATACGATATTATTTTGTATACAACGAAAACAAATTATATAAATAATTTATTGTACACGAACCGTTCGAATATAAAAATAATTGTATGCATGTTTAAAACTTGCAAAAGTATATGTAATAAAATGCATAGTACAAGACTGTCCTGATAATATCGTGAAAAATTCATTTATTTTTTTTTTTTTTTGTATGTAAGGCACAGATTATATTATATAAAATAAGAAGCTATTGCAGTCGAATTTATACACTAGCTGTCATCATATATATATACCAAGATTAACCCATGAAATACATTTTGTTCATACTATCAAGAATTAAACGTTAAATGTGATAATATAAAAAATATTCGAAAATAACGAAAACCCGATCGGTTACACTAAAACTTACTAGAATCCTGTGACCGTTCCAATGTATGTTTTCCTTCCATTTTTTATCTAATCCCGTAGTGGTTTTCCATTGACCGCTAGGTTTTAGGTTCACGTTTAGGATAGATACTAACTTTCTAGGAGCAGTACCAGGCTCTGACAAAAGAGCCGTCATCTGCTATGTAAGGGCTCTTGGAAAAAATCTATAGTTTAGAGGCTCTTTTAAAAGCGAAAAAATGTGAATGGATGTGTCAAAATGCACTTTCTGTGCATAACTTAGAAAGTGTCTTGAAAGACAGAAAGAAAGTTATTGAATTATCAAATTAATTTTTATTCCATGACAAAAACAAATATTTCATGAGCTAAATAATAAAATGTGTCATCTTATTATATTATGGCTGCCAACCTCTTATCATCATTATATCGGCCAGCCATGTATTTAATACATCTGTACATAGCATTAGGTTGCAGAAACACTATATTATAAGAAAAATAAATGACAAAAACATTTGTTAAGTATTTACAAACGCCTTAATAATTTGTGTAATTGAAATCTCTATTAATAACAACAATAATAATAATAATGAAAAAGCAGTACATTTTCAAATGTTTTGTAAATTATCGTTACGTTCCTCTACTAAAAGACATTGTTCATGGGTAAGCCACTATAGTGGAGAAGAATAACTTCTTTTCTACTATGGTTAGCATGGTAAGATATAAAGAATGTTTATATCTGTATGCAACGATATATTGTTAATAACGAAAAACGATCCTGTGCAAAATTCGGTGAAATATTTTAGATTCTAAGCGGAGCGAGAAATATATTGACTTTACAATGACATTTATTTTTTTTTGGTCTGTGAACTGTCTGGAAATTAGCTCCGATTTTCAAGTCTAGAACTTTTTCTAGAAGGAAATTCAACTGGAGTAGTACTTTAAGGAGATAATTTAATTTTCCCAGAAGTTTTCATATTAAATGAGAAAAATCGGCAGATTAATAAAATGTGTTGTTTTCAAATTATAAAATATTTTGTTTTACACAATGAGGCTCCCTCCAGGTAACTGTTCCCGTTGCACAACCCAATTTTGACGTCACTAACTGCATCTTAGTAAAACCAATAAATTTCTTACTGCGATCAAAATCTAAAATTTAATACAGACGGAAGCGTGTTTACGATCAAAGTTAAGTTTAATCAGGTATTAAGGTTTTCTTTTTACATTTTAAGCGTTTCCAAATTTTCGATAAAAAAAAATGTACACGTTTACATCACAGGTAATCGATCATTATTTTATTATTTGTTTTTATTTATTTTTTTACTTCCATTTAATTATTGCTGAGAGATAATTCGATATGGAATATGGAAACAATTATTAATCAGAAAGGTATACGCGAATGTCAATTTGTTTGGGTAGGTATAAGGGAAATAAAATTTAATATTTTGTATTGCCCGGCCACTTCGTATTTACACCTACATAACATAATATAACAAACGCAACGTACTTCAGCGGAAATTGTTTCCACGTTTCGGTAAGCGCACTCGTTACTATTATTATTTAATTAAAATAATATAGTCAGTAGGTGGTAACATTTTGTATAAATATACTTTATCAGTTGGTAGGTAGAAAATTGATATTTTCGACCCGGGCAGAAAAACAACCGCACACACTTTACCCGCGATGCACATCATAATAATTATAACGTTCAATTGTATTTCACGGACTGGTTAATAATTTCAATTTGATTAATAATATTCATAATATATAATATTATTACAGTCATTTATTATAGTATAATACATTGATATTTTGAATTTTACACCGAAAGAAGATTTTTTTTTTTCGCGAATTAGCAAAATTGTTTTCGTTATATATACTAGGGATATATTATTATTAAACTCTGAGCGAAACGAGGATCATATTAGTTTTACTGTGCTGAACTTTTTTTTGCGTATCTGTATACAAATTTTCTACCAGAAACCTCGCTCTAATCAATAACTTTATAAGTACTTTCTTGTAGCTATTTTTTTTTATCTATTTGGTACATCGAGGAGGTTATTTTTTTATTTTCCATATAGTTTTATTAATAAAATGAGAAACCTTAGTCATTGTTTACACAATTTGCGTTATTTCCTGGTTGCCTTATCGACGAAAGGAAATATACGATACCACGTATAAATAGTCTTCTCAGAATCGTCTTTTTATTTACAATGATTTATTATTACGTATGTATATAAACTAAACTATTCTTTAAATTTTGATAGAATAACAAAATCGAAAAAAAATGAAACTTTTGTCAAAGTAAATTTGCTTGTTTTATTATATTTTTTTTCTCCAATTATTTTGAAAACTGCTTGTGAATCAAAAAAAATACCACCATAATACACCGATTATATCCAACATACAATTCAAAAGCTCTATCGTTAATTTTCGGAGAAAACCATCTAATAGAAACGCTGTTAACAGACAGAAAAAAAAAAACGCATCGTAAGAAAACAAATATATTCCTCGCTGTGCTCAGAATCTAAAAAAAAAATCCAGTATTATTAGTGTGATATGCGTGAACACGGGTTATCGAAGAAACACGAAGAGATCCGTTTTTATTCTTATTCGTTATATATAAGACAACTATAGCAATAATCACAGTTCGAGCACTTAAAATCAATAATAAACATTTATATAAATATATTATAAGGAATCCTAAAATAAGCATTTGATTACATTTTCGAAAAACTAACAAACACATTTTTTATTTTTTCGTTTTAATTATTAAAATCACTGAACAAAGGCACTTTCAAATTTCACATTTGAACTCTTGAATCTATTTAAAACCAATCTCGTGAATGTGTATTGTTCCATGCCCAGTGACAACCGACACGGCAAGTAGTTAACGTAATACAAACTACAAAACAATTGTATTTTGTGTTGTATAACAATGGAAAAATTATTTAAAAACCATGGGGGCGAAGGGAACATTGGTTTCGTTAGTGGTTAGAATATAATCACAAAATCGAAAACATGTGAGAAAAATCAGAAAAAGCTAGTAAAAACATTTTTTTATTTTTTTCTATCGAAATTATAAAAAAAAAAAAAAAAAAAACACTTTTAGATCTCATAATAAAAGTAATTATAACGCGTCATAGATTAACATCGCACTATGTTAGGTTTAAATGGCACGCATAAACAAATTAATGCTATAAGTTTCGAACCCTGGTAATAATATATTTTACTCACGTCCACATTTATTCCGGGCCACGGAAACACTCTGGTGTGTGGCAGTTCCTTGGGCACGTATCTGAAGAACTCCTGCCGGCCTTTGTACCATTTGACCGTGTACAAAGGATCGGACTCCAAGTCGTATGTACATGTCATTTTCGCCGAGTCGCCGGTCGCCACCGCCACGGGCACCGTTATGCTCATGTTCGACAAACTGTTACATTCTGCGGGACAAAACAGAGAAAAAATACGCACGTTATTATATTTGTGAATCCCACGGGGTCACCGTATACATTATACATTTCGATAATGGACATTATTTTTAATGTTATTACTACTTTTGATTTTGAGCACCCCCACCGTATTATGAAACCGTTAGGTAATATTATTACCTATATACTATAGGTACTATAGTCACAGTTGTGTGACAGATTTTGTTTTTATTTTTGTTGAATAAATTATATGAGTATTACGACGGCACGTCATCTACACGTCTACTGCGGAGGAAAATACGAAGAGTCTATTATTGGAGGTCACCATTATATTATGTTTTATCATATCGATTTTTATCTGATATCATGACAACCATGATCAGTCGAGATTTTCCTACGTCATAAAATTATACCGAATGAATTTTTCACAAACTCAAAAATTTAATTTTATGATTGAATTTTGATTTTTCTGATTCTCAGGTTAATTAAAGGAACAATTTTAGTTTTGGGGAAGTAGGATAAAGAGGGAAATTTAATATATATCTGTATTCAACGATTAATAATTGATAATTACAAACGATTCCGAGTGGATTTTGGTTACACGTGTTTTAAAAAGTATTGTTATTTACGATTTTCGTCAAAATTTGATAGAGACTCAACTCTGGCACGTTAGTGTCCAAATAATATATCAGTAGGGTCTCTCGTTATGCTCACTAGCTTGTTGCATTGACTGACGGCACACACGATAACGTTTGAACGACGTTTTGATAGTATATAATATATGCATGGTTTAAACGGTACTGTAATTCAAATGTTTGACGATACCAATCGCGAAACTCTTAATTTCGTGAAAATGCATTAAAGACAGATTACATAAATACATTGGTAAATTGTTACCTCATCCGGATAAATGATAAATAAGATATCTGAGCCGCTATCCAAGATATAAATAATTAAACCATTTGAATAAATTAATCTAATTATAAATGATACTTATAACAGTTCACGTTTTCACTATTGATCCAAAATTTATTTAATATACTATATAAAGTATACACTCATATTTTTCAAACGTATACCATTGGACACTCAGGACTCTCTCTCCTTTTAGTTACGGTCTTGAATACCTATTTATTTAGAATAATTCAAGAGTACCAAACAATTTGTGTACGTAAAAGTTCAAATTCTCCACTAAGCTGTATAAAATAAACAATTAAAAGGATACGTATTATACGATTTCAAAACAATAATATTGTAAAACCGTTATTACAATATGGAATTTGTTTCCATCGGGTATTACGACTTGTTTTAACATTATTTTATATTATATTGGTTGAAGTGAACAAATACCAAAGGAATATTATTTAATACTATAAGTATATAAAAAATAAATGAATTCAGAATTTCACCGACGGTAATAGTATTTTGTATTTTAATACTCCTCCGATTTCATTTTTATCTGTCAATGGTATATTATATTATATATTATTATTTATACCGCCGCACCGTAGAAACATATTTCGAAAAAACAGACTGCAATTGTTTGGGTATGTCAAAAGGAAAGAGGGATCTGAAACAGTAACAATGATAATAACAATTTTAGACGAAGGAGAGGAAAAGAAAGAACAAAAAAGAAGTGGTTGGAATGATACGAGGACGGCAGGTGGATGAGGGGTGAGCGATCGGGTCAAGTGGGCGTTTAGGACGAGAACGGCCGACCTCAAATAGTTGAAATAAAGGCAAAGGAGACGAAGATCTATTCCACATACATATAGCACAGCAGAATTAAAATTCGTAAATACTTTCTACTTTTAAAAAATGTTCGATTTAGTTTTGAAATTTATACCAAACGGCTAAAATATTATAATAATAAAAAAAAACTACGCAGAAAATATTTAACGAAACACACTATATATAATATTATATCCAGTATAGGTAAAATAGGTAGGTATAATACGCCTTGGAATCGTCTAATAAAATAAAAAACGTTAAGTGCATAAAGTTATTTTTGTCCGGAGAGGTAGGGGTAGGGGTGATATCTATAATACTTTTTGCTTAGCTGTGAAGTAAATACCTATGTATATTAGACAAACAGCCTGGGGTTTTTTATTTTTTTTTGTTTCAAAGTTCAGGCCCGAAAACCACAACGGACAGTATTGTCGTGCATAAAATAATACACATACCATCATAATCATAATAATATATCAAGCCCACTAAATGTCTTTGGCTGTTACTTGCATCGTCATTTTTTCCCCTACACGTTTGTCCAAACTTTGGTAAAATAATACGCCGCTAACGAAAAACTACAAATTATATTGTGTTTATCCCGTGTCAAACGCAAAATCGCAGTAAAATATTACATTTATAACGTCGTTTATAATATATAATAATAAAATATTATTCGGAAATTCAAAAAACTGTACCGTATGCGTTGTCACTGCAGCAGAATAATAATATATTACAGGTTTTAATGTGCAAGTATATATTATAATAAATTTCAATCGTATAGTTTTAAAAACAAAAAAAAAAAAAAACATAATACATTTTCCCGTCAAAAGTTTATGACTTCCGCGTCTTGTGGAAAACCATAGAACATACATACATATAGGTGAGTACAATATTTTCAACTTAAAAAAATAAATATACGTATAATATTTCGAAATCGGGACACAAATGTATTTACATTTGTATTAATTTTCGTTTCGCATTCAGCTCACCCGGTTAACCGACGAACGCATTATGTTTCGAGGCGATATGGTGAGTTCAACGTGATGTGCTTAAGGAATATTTAAAATTTTTTTAATGCGAATTAAAACATTGCACACCTTTACAAGACGTATATTGACCAAAAATGTAGTAAATAAACGTAAATGAAAAGGCTATCTAGCTCCCGACAAGGCCGGGAATCTGCGTAAAGATTCCTTGGTCGAAAACTGTATGAACGGGACAATAAAATATCATAAATATAATTTTCAGTCTATAAATTAAGATTTAAGACCCATAAATACATAAAAACGTGTACTATATAAAAAATAAGTAACCATAAACTGGTTTTGAGCAGCAACCACTTAGGTTTTATACATTTTTTATAAAGTAATGGGAAAATACAATTAGGAATATAATAAAATATTAAAAATAAAGATTTTAAAAACGGTATCAATTTTAATACGTCATTACATTGTACTTATATTATATAGCTATGTATATGGATGCAAATAAAACGAGTAGTACATACAAATCATTGCACTATAGGTAAACAAAGTCCAATACGCTACTGATTATTATGGGAGTCAACAAAATGTACCGCAGATTTGTTTTTATTGGTATACGAGTTGAAACACTAGTGAAATTAAAATATTTTCGAAGGCACGAAACGTTGAAGAATTTTTGATAAATATAAGAGAGCTTCACAAATTAAACACATAGGTATTTAATGAATTAAAAATTACTTTTTTAAAATTTACCAACACGTATTGCCTTCAGAAATTCGATACATTTTTGATTTATTATTATTGGTTTTGCAATTCTCTATATGTCTATAAAATGACTCAAAGGCTCGACAAATCAGATTTAGATGCAGTATGTACTCTAAATATATTCAACACGTTATAAATCAAGTGTGTATTATAATTTAGACTATTTTTAAACAAAACAATTGATTGGTGAGCCTACTTGCCAGGGTAGACCGCTGTCTTTGAAATAAATCCTTTAACAAAATCATGTCCAAACAATTTCTTATAAGAAAAACATAATTTAACATTTTTACTTTTATGACAAAAATTATTGGCAATTAACTTCGAAGTTAACTGCTTCTAAAATATTTAAGATTTAAATTTTTTTTTGACCTTTAAATGTTTTAAAAAATACATATCTATCATAGATATTTTATATAGGGTAATTAATGACCTCGTGTCTTACTTTGTTTACTAAAATTCAACTCTTATAGCGTGGCTAACACAATATTTTTTTTATTATTATTATTATTTCCGGTTCCCGTTGGTTACATCACGGTTGTTATAATATATCATTCGTAATCGAATTAGTCAAAGCAAATTCCGTCACGAGACTTCCAGATTAAAGCTAATTGAAAATATTTTGTTTACAAATTCATTAGTGAAAATGCTCATTTGGATGGTGACCACCTTCTTTGCCTCGTTACAAGTTCGTGAATCCGCATCGCGTTATTTCAAAAAAGGATATTAAAAATAAATGCGTCTGTTTTCTTATTTGTAGTAAAAACTAAAAAAAAAAACAAAAAAAAAAAAAAAAAACCAAACAACGAAATCAGATTAATAAAATCTCACTTATTATCTGGCATATAAACCTAATAAAGCCATGTGCTGCAGCGCAAATATAATGTTTGAAATTTGTTTTAAATGTTTTAAATTTAAATTTCACTGTAGAAAAAAATAAAAAAGATTTTAAGAACGAGCGTTTTTATCGTAATTTTAAATTGTCTTTCGTAGATAATTAAAGTAGTAAAAAATGGAAAATACGATTCACCTCATCTGTGACACGTATGGGATTACATCAAAATTAGCTGGAGACAAAATTATAGGAAAAACAGCAAATGTTTGCGGCACGTTACCGCGTTACTGATTTCATTATTTCAAACTTATACATTTTATGTTTTTTACAAGAAATATTTTTCAAATCAAAAAACGCCAAAAAATTTTTCTTTTTGTTGCATATTTAATCTAATTGGTGAGTAAGTAAGTTTTTTTCTTAAAATTTCCCAGCAATTTTTATAGTAATTCGGAAAACTCGCAAAAGACGTTAAATGAAAACTAATAAATATATACGTCGTTATAATTTCATTATTTTAAATTGTACACATTATATTTTCTACGAGAAATATTTCTCCAATAAAAAGCGACATGAGGACCTTTTGTTGCATTTTGGATCTAATTGGTTGTTTAATCAAATAGAAATACTTGAAAATTTAACAGAATGTACATTATAAGTTATACTTAATGGTCAAGTTTTACTTTGTAATACAAAAGCCGAGTGTAATAAAGTGTTTTTTTTTATAAAGGTTTTAAGATCAAATTTTAATGAAAATCGTAAATATTGTTAGAATAGGACATTTCAAATCATGTTAAACCGAACTTCGCTCGGAATCATTTTGATTCGCATTGATTTATCATTGTCGTACTAATATAAATTAAATAACATTAAACAACTTTTTTAATTTTCCATCTACGACTATGGCGAATCCATCAGCAGGATTAGATTTTTTTTTTTTAATAAACATACACACAAATAATAAGCGAAAATAATCCCTGCGCTCACTTTAAAAAAATGTCTCTGTTTCTTCACAAATTATACTGTAGATTTTGATTAAATGTTTTTCTTTTAAAAAAACATCTTTTCTTGATTATTTTTCACGGACAATAAATTATTCAATAAATTAACTGTTTTTTCCAGAGGTAATGTTCTTGCTTGTGTATGTGGCAGAATTATTATTTTTTTTTTCAATCAAATGCTAATTTATTAACATTTACTAAAGACATTTACCACCAATCCTCTCCGTTTTATATAGATGCCAAATTAAAATATTAAATTATATAATTATATAAATCAGTACATTTTACAATAGATATACATAGGTACCTGTTAAATTATTTTTTTTGAATTATAATAATTCCCAACAATATTATTTTAGTTTGTAATTTAATATTTTTAGACTTTTTTGTAAATTTTATTTTTTCTTGTTCCTGTTGTACGTTTCTTTAAGGTTAGAAAAGATCTCAAAAATGTATAGGTCAGTATATAGATGTAACTTTTGAAAAATTCAAAGTAATAATTGTTATCTGATAGCACTCACATAGTTTAGTCGATTTACTTAACAATACTTCCATTTGTGAAAATAATACAAAAAATGATAAACGATGACAAGTAAAAGTAATGGTAAAATTCCATAACCAATCCTCTTACAATAAAAACAATATGTAGTAAAAATATGTAATACTATAGTATTTTAATTTTTATCGTCATTTGTTCAACAAGTAATGACTTTTGTTTTTGACAGAATTGTGAATAATTGTTTATTGTTTTATATCGTTTTGCCGACATATAATAAAACAAAAGTTTTGTTTTCATTTTGTAAACTCTATCAAATTTTAATTTATAATTATTATTTAACCAATATAGCGGTTTTTTTTTTTTTTATTAAAAATCGTACATTATTTTTAACAAGTTAAAATATTAAAGTCTGCAATAAGATAACACAATAACGTTTATTACTGACTGTTTGTTTAATTTTTAAGGAAATCTTCTCGAAAATGCAGAGAAAACTATTCAAATGAAGCATCGTATCAGTCAGAAATTATAAATCCTAAGATTGAATTTTTATTTTAACGAATTTAAGAAACTATTAACACAAACGAGTAACGTTTAATTATTTAAAATTTTAAAGAGTTTAGTAAAAACGCATCACTATTAACGACATTGGACGATTAAAAATATGTTTACATAGAAAGTTTTTCGATCCATTGTTATTATTCCGTTTTTTAACGCCACGCGCCGCTATTATTAAAACTCATTTTCCGATACATATACCTACATGATAAATCACACGTGGATATTATTAATAATAACCGATTCAATGAATATATTGTACAACGTTTTTCATAAAATTATGTCATTAATTATTTATTTTTAAATGCAATCAACAGTTCGAGGAAAAAAAAATTGTAATTGAGGTATTGTTTTTTAAAAACCAATTACGAATATACCTGTACGGTCATTAATAATAAAGCAGTAAAATACATTTTAATTTTTTTTTGTTCAAATTAGTCGCAAAAATAAAAAAACAAACGCTTATGTAGGTCGTATTTTATTTCTATATTTTTGAAGCATCGTAAATATAACGTTCCGAATGCGCATATTTTAAAATAAAACGATAAGTGAAATATATAACCATCACGGCGTCCTACAGCAAAAAATTATACTTCACGGAGTGTCCAAATCTGCAGATACTGTTCCAAGGAAGATAGCGTCCAAAGTGAAAACCTAAAACCTAAAACCTTCGGTCGTGGTAAAACCACGACCGGTAGAAATAAGGGTAAAAACAGTGATAACAGTGGATAACAGTGAAAACTGTCAGCATTAAGCCAAGCCCATGCCCAACTGGTCAGATCCATAATTTTGCCTATTACATAAGACAGTGATAAAAATCACAATTTTAAAAAATAATTATGATGCTATGTATGATATTTTGAGAGGAGAAGATTGGCAACAATTATGTCCGTGACATATCAATTTTCAGACAACTAACAGTGATATAATCAAATTTTAAAATATAAGATGGTTAATTGAAAATGACCAAAATCTGAAATTCACTTTTTATTTTAAACCGCCAGAGTTGATTATACGTCTACTTAAAAAATGATATTTTGAAACGAAAATCGTTTAAATGCCGTTCGTTTTCACATTTGAGTGATTCGAATTATTGTGGTGTACTTTTTTTTCGGTAGCAGCTGAGTTAATAAAATATGTTTTATTGAATAAAACCATAAGAGCAAAAACAATAAAATGTATTGTCAAACACAGTATTGTACGTCAAAAATGTGTAAAATAAAAAAATAAAACAGTTTTTTTTTCATTTCATCCATGTAACCGAGGGAACCCGAAAATCAACGACAAAAACAACAAATCAATTTTCGTTTTATATACGAAGAAAGAATTTAAATGTGAATAACATCAGTTCTTGAGTAAGAGGCCCATGGACCATTACAGTTCTTAAGTCCGAAAATCCATAAAATCATGAATTATCTGAGTTTTATGATTTAAAAAAAGCACCGTTTGTCTCTAGAATTTCTCCCTGTCTGTTTTTTTTTTACATTATAAACCAATAAATAACCGAATACTGTAATTTTAGCAATACAATATTATATACTAAAATTTGATTATTAAAACGGTAAAAATGAGTGTTTAAAATTGAAAAACACCTTTCTCAACTGGGTATTTAATTCAAATTTTAATTCAACCATGTTTTTATCAATTCAATCCACCTATAAAAAAACTTTAATTCCCGAATTTGAGCTCATTTGTTTCAAAGAGATCAGCTAAACGCGTCAAAATGTAACTGTAAAAAGATATGTGGTTATAGTCTATATTATTATAAAGAAAATTTGAAAACAAAATATGAAATATTATGCACAAATAAACATTTTAAACTAAATTTGAAATGTTACATGTTCTGGTGAAATGTCTAAATCAGTAAAACCTTTTTTTTTTTCAGCAGAACAATTTCGTTTGAATATCGGGATAAATAATCGTGTAAATGTACGTTAATTACACGCTAAATATTTGCATAGGAAAAAGTTCAAAAAGTTGAATTCTAACCGGAAGGAAATGTTTTTCCTGCTTCATCTACGATTTTTTGATATTACGTCTAAATTAAAGGCATACTAAATTGCGACGATAGTCATGCAAGTTCATGTTAAATATATTACCGTAAACAAATTTTGATTAGTATGGCTGGTAAAATGTATACGAGCCTATACTGTTGCTTATATTATGTTATATGGGATTAACACTAGCGGTAAACAAATTTCCCTGACAAATTGACGGCGGTGGCAGCGACTTCGAAAGCACTCGAATTTGCGGGAAAACGTATCGTCGGAGGACTTATATCCGTACGAGATATTTTCGCGGGTTATGCAAATTAGTGAATCTGAATTTGTAACGGACGTATTATCTATGGCTTGCATGGAATTTTAGTGTGGTGGCGACCGCATCGCATATAGTAAATAACGAGACAGTACAGTATTTGTTTTTATTCACAATGTCAGAGAGAAGATTTGAACGAAATCCGCGAGAAATTGGATTTACGTATACATTTAATATACATTCGCGTTTAGAGTAAAAGCGTGTCTCATAGTACGCGTTGCACGTCACGGATATTCACTTGGAATTTCGACAAGAAATTTATTTTATTCTTTTTTTCGTTTGAGCTAATTTATTACAACAGATTCAAATGCATTGGAAATGATCGCAATATAGAATTATTACCATAAATCGCATTTGTATAAATTATTATTATAAAAACTTGGAAGATGTTCATCTGCGAACAAAAAGCGAATTCCTGAAATACACGACTCATAAAAATTCTATCGATTCAGACAATGATTAATAATAATCATAATACTAAAAAAAAAAAAAAAAATCTCCAGCATTGTACTACTAAAATATTTATTTGGTAGAAACTAGAATATTATGATGTTTTCAAAAATAAAATAAATTCTTTACGGTAAAATGATTCTCCTTCTTTTTCTTCGGGTAATCGACTGCTAAGATCATCGCATCAAAAACATTTTCATCTAGTTATCTCTTTCCAATCTAAATACCCATCCAAAACCTCTAAGTTTTGTTTAAATCTTCTCACTTCACACGGGGTCTTCTCGATAGCGTCCTATTGCGTTATTCTCTACTACTATGTGAAACAATGGATTCTGATTACGCCAAGCATGTCACCGTAGTATTATATTATTCATCACCTTCAATATATTAGGTCTATGAAAAATTGATTATAAAATAGATATATTTTTTCTTATTCTCTATTGCTTATTCCCATTGCTATTGAAATTCTTTGTAGGTCTATACATTTTCTTCAGAACTATCCTTTCCCCGAATATCAATTTATTTAATCCATCTTTCGTTATGGCAATTTTTGCACTCCATGTACGAAAAACAGGCGTAATGCGTTACATAATTATATGAATCTTCAGGATCTTCAAGAATCCTGGCAGTTTTTCGAGGCCATATAAACACATCTGTTTTCTGAGTACACCATGTTATGTTTCTTTTTTTCCAGTTAATACTGATCCTAAATATTTAAAATACTCGGTTCTGTCGAAATCATATAGATTCCTATACTTTCAGAAAAATCCAATAAACGACTGACGTTTAAACAAGAATTCAAATTCTGGCATTCATATTTTCCGCATACTCAAAATGATGTATTAAAACTTCATCGGTCTAATCACCGGTTAACAATTGATTTTATTATCTACGCACTACGTGGTTGTTTATGTTCTCTTTAATCTACGTCTGGATAAGAAATTATCCCGTATCTGTATATTACCTGGATATTTTTGAATTTATTTTGATAATTTCACTATACAACAGCGCTGATCGCATGGCCGTGTCCACTAGTGCCTCTACCGGTCAGGCCACCGCTCGAAATATTATCGCACTTCTTCGCGGCCGCGATATGATTTTAACTGTATTGTTATTATTTTTCCGGTCCCGCGCGAACGTACGTATTCCGGGCATGCACGCGTCACTCGCATCACGCATTTACAACGCCGAAAATTTAATATTATTGCGTGAAACATAATCGCGGAGAATCCATTATCCCCGCCGCCGACGGCATGCTTGTTTACATTTACGGGACATTCCTGATGCGATCGGCGATCGGCGGCGCGCGGTCGAGCGGTTATGTTGGGGGGGGGGAGCGAGGAGCGAGGGGCGGTCGAACGGAGAGCCCGGGTGAGTGAGGAGGGAGGATTTTCCCGGAAATCGTGCGTCACGGGGAAAACCGCGGGATTGTTGACGGGGGCGGCACCCCGCCCCCTCCCCCCGAACGCGAACGCGTCAATAGCACTCTTCGCACTCTTTAATATATCGGTCGGTCCGCCACTATCAAACGCGCCACAACACACCGCGCTCGGTGTATGCGTATAGGAACAACGGAACATATTGCCCCGTATACACGCGTACACGCACAACGCAAACCTTTATCCGTCCCCGCGCGGCGCACAGCCGCTCTCGCCGTCGCCGCCGCCGTATCGCTCCGGGCGTGTGCCGGAAACGTGCGTTTTACGCCGTATTTTCGCGACGCCGAATGCAGACGTCGCCCGCGAGCGGCTCCACCACAAATACTGTACGCTCGCGGTTTTTAATTTTTTCTTTCTCCAAACGTCTCCGGGTATCGTTGCCGCCGAATTTACGACGCGCGAAGAACGCGCGCGTAGCGGTCGCGTCGCGTAGTGTACGCGTTGTGCGCGCGCGTCACTCGAACTCGGACGAGTCGTCGCGAGACCGTTTCGCCGTCGTCGTTTTTACTGACCGCTTTGCCGTCGAAAAAAAAAAACAAAAAATCCGTACATCCGTCCAATTTATATACAGCGTATGTCGTTGATGCGTGTGTGTAATGTTTGTATCGCGAAATTGTCCACAGTATGACATAATCTATTTTGCGGTTTTTCGTCGTCCGCAAACAAAACGACAGTGTTTAACGCGGGGGCGGTGGGTAGGTCAGATATCGTATTCAGGGTAAAATCGCTTTTACGTTAAAAGTCGTGGAGGTTTACCGGGATACTTTTAAATCGGTTTTCAAAAACTCGTCTACTCAATTCATAAATACCTATTAACTCATTATACGTATTCAGACACCGTTTTACTTTGTTTTTACTTGACAGACAGAGCGCAATATTTTTTAGGGTGTTACAGTTTATTTTTAAACCCGATCGGTTTCATGAATAAATCATTGTGAGAGAAAATCATTTCGGAAGCGTTGTCTCCGCGATGGGTTTCTGGAAAGTTCGGTAATGTTCAGTTATAATCATCGGAGACGTCTCTCGACTTTCAATACGTTTTCGGTCATTTTCGGTCATTTTCGGTTACCTTCCCGCTTTGAACCAATGTATAGTAATATTGTTTGTCGTCTGTTAGTATGGACCACAAAACCGTCACGGTTTCAATAATTGGTGCCAAATTAGTGTTTATAATTGACAAATTGTAATGTCCATAATGATATGTACCGAATGTCACGACGAATCATCTTTTGTTTGTATTTGCATGCTTATTAATTACTATATCAACACGGTCGATAAATATATTTACAACAAAACACTGAAACGAACACGATTGATCAGTAATGTTCGCGGTATATACGCGCTATCTGTATATTCGTGAAAAATTAAGTTGTAGATTCGTAATACCTATTCGGATTTAGAGAGCTATTTTTCTATCGGGTGTTTTGTTAGATTTTTTTTCATTTTTTTTTTTTATTTTCTTCCAACGCCAAATTGTCTTTACGTCGAAAAAGCGTCGGCGAAACGGGTTTACGGCGCGCGGCGACCCATTCGGTACACAGCTAATAGTTACTTGCAGTGATATTTTAATATTCGGTCTGTGTGTAGCAGTACGAGAATGGCGCCACTGGCGAAGAAGTTTGCCGCTATACACTCTCGTTATTGTATTATTATTTTAGAACTTGTACACTTATAACGGTTTCGTGCCGACGCCAAAAATCACAAATTAGAAACAGCGAGGCCATATATTAAATTATTATTTCGCGTCGACGACGCCGCCTATAAATACCACGCACGTCGGCCGGCGAAAACAAGACGTGTTTTTCTAGGCACACTCTGAACCACGATTTCCAAAAAATAAAACGATAATAATGAAATTGAATGGGTGGAAATTCAGGAAGCTATAGGATACGTACAAGTAATACAATTCGTATTTGTACAAAATGATAAAACATTTCTCACGAAATACGATTCTGAGCGGAGATAGGATGAACATATTTTTAAATGCCGCGATTTTTTTTTTACGATTTTCATTAAAATTTAAACATAAAATAGCTGATAAAATAATTTCTTCTTTACACTCGACATGTTTTTACCGGTCAGCTAGTACAATACGCATAATGATGTTCATTTAAAATCGACAAACACATCTGCTTGGTCATAACAATTTTATCCATATAAAAACCAAATAACAATTTAAAAAAAAATTAAAAAAACTTCAAATTCCTACAATAAATAGTTCAAAAATGTACCATGTTTACAAGATTTTTTTTATCGGAATTACAACTGAAATTTACAGAAATCGTTATGACGAACATTTTCTCGTTTTACTCTTATATTTTTTCCTGATAATTAAGAAAACTACAGGAATATAAAGAAATGATTTACGCAACACAAAAAAATATAAAAAATTTTCTACCAGTAAAAACACTTAAAATTAAAAGTTGATAGTTAGAGTAAGATTTTCGGTGACAAAATTTTCAGAAAGATAAACAAAAAAAAATTCACCATAGTAAAACCAATACATTCCTATCTCTATACGCTCAGATTCTTTGAGTGTCATAAATTAAACACCAGCAAATTGTACTTCGATAATTATAAAACGCTATTAAAAGCAAAAAACGTTCCCATATATATTTTATAAAATAAATAATACGAAAATGTGCATGCGTGTATGACCCGGAAATAAATAAAATTATTGATCGAGGAAGAAATAACGTTTCTAGCATTTCTTTTTTTTTGTTTTTTTTTTTCGGTTTCGTCCTCTCGATTTGTGGTATTCTGCAAATATACTCACATACACATATAGACACTTTATAATGAATATACATTTGAAACTACCGTTAAAAATCGATCGTGTGTGATTGTTCGTTTTGATTTTTCTACCAGAAATCTTACTTCAATTGTGAAAAGAAAGTTTTCGCAGTTTTCTAGTTTTCGCATTGGGGATCATTTTTGATTTTCCAAGGGTTTTTAAAATAATTGAAAATTTAACAGGAGGTTTATTATAAGCAATTTTGATAAGGATTACCGACAAGTGTTAACTACAAAATATCTCAAAACTCGTACTTATAGCAGTTGTTTAATTTCATTAATTAATAAAAAAGTATATTAAATATTAACGGTTGTCAGCTAAAATAAACACGGGACGTAGTCAGGGTGGAGGTTATGCCCTGCTTATAAATTAATTAATTATCATTTAATTACGTGACAATTTGTTCACAGAAGGGACAATAATTGCTATTTTCAATTACAACATAATATTATTTCGTAACTCGCATGTTCAATACTGAGTTTATGTCAATGTATGTGATTATACACGGTTGAATGATCGATCGAACCATATTTTTTTTATTTTGTCAGATAATAAATAATCAGCGTGTAATACGGATGAAAAAAAAAGACACGCGTAATAAGATGTTTGAATTAAATTGCGTACACTGCGCTAATAAAGTACTGTCCCCCGGATAATTCAGAAAACGTTAAAAATATATTATTAATTTGACTGAGATCTGTATAGTGCTTAATATAGAGCACACAAGTTCAAACTGATGACGAGCAAGTGTTTTAAAAATTTGCAAATTATCAGACCGCAAACATGGTACGTATTTTATTTCTAAAAAGTGCGTTAAAAAAAAAATCACACTCATCGAAACGAAATAATGTGCATCTAATTTGAAACTATTATAGAGATTCTCTAGAATTTAGACTAATTTAACGTTGAAAACTATAATTTCGGAGTCACGTGGAACTAATTAACCGTAATAAAATTGGATCGCGACATTGAGCCGACAACCAGTTGGCCGACAGAGTATTATAATTTATTCTATCCACTTGAATTATATTTATTTATTTTATATTTATTAACATATATATATTTATTTATATATATTAGGTACTACTAAATTAAATTAATTATTCATATTTCATAAATAAAGAGTCTAAAAAAAAATTCTGGGGAAGGTCAGAGATTTGATACCCTTTAAGGAGCGGGAGCTGAATAATCCCGATATTCAGGGTGTCCCACGATGGCCTGTCACTTGAAATAACTTTTGTTCTATTCAATATTTTTGATATATATTTATTTTTTAAATAATGAGTATGTATCTGCGCTACTGCGGTTTTTATATGAGCATTTTTTTTTTTTTTAGGGGATTTTATTTAATATACAGATTTTTAATTTTACTATAATTTTTTAATAAAAAATCAAAATAGCCATTTTGTAAAATAGATTTTTCTAATTTTTTTAGGAATTTAAACTTTTATTAAAGTTTGGTCTTTTATTTTCTACGATTTTTTGAAAATTTGAATAAGTTTCTTTCCAATCATAACAATATTATTTTTAATATAAATTAATATTTAACTACTACCTTATACCTATAATATGATAATATTATTGCATGATATTAACTCAAGGAAAAGAAAATCCTTGTCATGTGCCCTAACTAATAACTGATTAAATATTGTAATAGAATAACCACAATAGTAATACTCACATTTGCAAAAAATTCAAAAAATCGTAGAAAATAAAATACCATACTTTAACAAAAGTTTCAATCACCAAAACGTGCCAAAAAAAATCTATTTTACAAAATGACTATTTTGAATTTTTTTAACAAAAATTGTAATAAAATTTAAAATGTTTTATTCTAAGTACCTTAACCTTAAAAAAAATGTCCATATATAATTTGTACCACAGAGGCTAATTATTAAAAAAAAAAAAATATATGTATATATATATATATATATATATATATCAAAAATATTGAATGAAAAAAAAGTTATTTCAAGTGGCAGATCATCGTGGGACACCCGTGTATTATAACTTGGTGTCGCCCGTCCATTTTTATATTAAAAAAGTATGAAAACGGCATAAATGGATATTTTATTATTTTTCATTATTATACTATTAATGTAGTGGTACAATAGTCGATTCGTAAAGAAGCAAACGATCCAAAGTGCATATATACAAATTTTGCGCCGACGATGACAGTTGGTAGATACACTTATATATACACTATACTTTTGCCCGGAACAGTATTTAAAGACCGTATCTCTCGTTCGGCTCGAGCAGAGGAGGTTTTTATAGGAGTTTTATCAAACATCTTAAATACATACTTGCGGATCTAAACCTGATGCTGCTTCAAAGAAGTTAGTGTCCTACATGGAAACCTACCTCGTAAAACCTACCTAGAAAATCCACCACGAATTTAGATAAAGCGGAGAAGAAATGAAAAGACGTTACCCATACCTGTCGGTCTAAACCTCATACTACACCAAAGAAATTTTAGTGTAAATTTACTGTGGAACAATAATGACAACAGATATTAGATCTACAACGTTTACAAAGTAACCGATATAGGTATTGGTCTTGTGTTTTTGGCAACAGTCATAACATTACGGAATATGTTATTATATAGGTACTTGCAACCTGACGGACGTAAAACAATTCGCTTTCGCCAAACACATAAACGTATACCTGATATTATTTAATTAATAAACACTATATAATATAAATCACGTCCGAGTACCTTTCTTCCGTCGGTCTTGCGGTGGGTATTCAAACATGAGGGGAGCTTAACACAGCGCGAGATAATTGAAATGCGATGTGAAAACGCTCGTATTATACAAAATACTGGCCGGTCGGAGAGCTCCGCAACTTAATAAACGCAAATACATTATTATTATTATAATAATTCAGTAGTAGCTGGTAACAGCTAGTCGTGTAATATTATACAGTGTATATTATGGATTAAATATCACGTCTTATCTAAAAGTTCTCTAACATTATATTGCAGATGTTATACCGTCAATGACGGTGCTTATAGACATAACAGGCGTTGTTCAAATTTGCTATTCTAACAATGTCTAATAATAAAGACGGGCAAATAATTCGATTTAATATAAAAAAAAAGCGTTGATAATGCTCACGAGAAATTGTTGTGTTGGTGAATTATACTATATTTTATTAGTGGGATGGCCGGACGTCACCAATAGTGATCCAGAAGTGAACAAATATAATGAAATATTGACATGTTTAAAATGAAGTACTTCGCACCGAATATAAATTCCGCAAACATAAAAAAAAATAAAGCAATTAACATAAAAATCAATTTGTTAGATAAAACTATTAATAAATATAACATGGCAAATTCATAGAATTGTTACTAACCGTAAAAGAATTTCCTAAAAAAATTAAAATTATTCTTTGATAATTATTAATTAATTAACTAACCTAGAAAACAAAGCCCTTTTATTATAGTACATTATATGGTCTCTTACTTATCCTAAGTTAACCTAACTAAACATTGTTGATTTTTTTTAAATTTTTAAACATTTTTTTTCTTTTCCTCCACGAAAAATATCATAGCAGTACTACAGCAGTGTAATAATATTGTATAAATACGAGATTTGTTCAGTTTATTTGACCGCTGGATTAAAAATCATATAATATTCTCAACGAAACACAAATTTCCATCTATCAGTGCGTTTGTTTTACAGCTCGTTGTAAAAAGATTTCCAGGTTATTATTATTTTGATTTTCGTAATGAAACACGTTTAAAAAATATATATATAAAACATAAAATATATATACGAAGGATTTTACTGCAATGAATCGTATAATGAGATTACACGTATTATTATTATTATTATGATTATTATACGCAGAGTCTTTTCATTTCTCGGGGAAATTAAAATTGTATGAAACATTCAGCGTCGCCGCCGTTTGAATATTAAACAATAATTTAATAAACAAACATCGTAAAGTTCAACTAAAATAATATAATAATATAGTGACGGTGGTTACGAAAATCGTATAAAAATTGTTTAGAACATAAAATAAGGAAAATTACTGAAAACTTAATATAACAACATTTATAATATAACCACGCAAGCGCAAATTTCAAATTATTTCAGAATATATATGTTATACCGGGTAGGTTGAGACATCTATTTTTTACACGAATCTATAGGTACGTATAATAGAAATTTTTCGAATATCGTAGAAGTGGTAAACACGGCCCGTCCCGTAGCTGAAATCACAAAAACCTCGATATATAATAATACTATATTTATAAACTTCATAAATAATAATGACTTTGAGCGGTACGTTTGAACAGCTTAATTAAAATATAACATAATACTCGTATAGTATGCGTAGTAACAGTAGCGGTAGATCTATAATATAGTATACCCCGAAACAATTTATATTATTTCACAACTTTAAACCAAACTCGTTTCGTAAAGGCCGACGAAAAATTAATTAATTAATTAAATTGAAAACAATCTATTTCGAAAATTGACTCTTAAATAATGATAATAACAATAAAAATATGGTGGATATAGTCGTTTTATTCAGTCACTATTATATTGTATAATATTATATGTATTCTGTGGTGAAATCTTATTATAGTAAAGTGTGAGTACTCGTATAGAGGGCTGTATCTAGATTAATGTTCTAGATAAACGAGAAATAAGTTATCCGAACCGTTTTATCTAAAATAAATAATTGAATCGTCAAGATAGATCTTTATAAATCGTAATTTATGTAGTAATATACTTTTGTTAGAAAATGTAAGTAAAATATTTACAATAATACGATTTAATGCACTGATTATTAAGCTGCACGAATCACACGACATTTATGCAAAAGAAGTGTACCAAATCAGGTAAGTACATTTTTAATAACATTTAGCACGTTGTTTTATCATAGGTTATTTCTAAACAGAATTTTATTTTATTTTTTTAGATACATTTTTCTAATATTATTTATCTTTATCTAGGCAAATATTTCTTTCGATAATTAGACTGGCGTGTACTGGCTATATTTTATCTTCGTCTGGATAATTATACTAAAATGTATCTTATCTTTATCTATAGATATTTTAAAAGGAATTTTCATACAACACTGCTCGTATAGCTAAATGTACCGAAAATCTCATGTCGAAAAACAATGTCGAATTCAGTTGCTAAAAATCTAGAAGCACGTTAGTATAAAGATTTCATATCCGTTCGCGTATACGACATCCGGTATTTTATCTTTCCACCGCCACCATGGTATTGCTGACGTATCCGTCGTATGCTCGGTGTCTTAAAACAGTGTTTTCTTTTGTTCGAATAACAAACTTTTGAGAAAAACAAAACGATAAATTCGTAAAAAAAAACCAACCATCACGACCGTAATATAAGAATATACCGCGTATCTATAGGAGAGTAAACTTTTTGACCCGCAGATGCAGTCCTTTTGGTGCGGCGAGATTTTTTTTCTATTTATGCATATTATTATAATGCCATCGAAAGTGTATTATAATATTGTTGAATTCGACTTTGTGCGGATTCCGAATTTAATGTTCGAAACCGATTCGGGGATTGAATAAAATTTAATCGAGTTTCTGGGCCTAATGGGCAGTCGAAAAACAAAACTTATGTGAACAATGTTTGTATTCGCGTTATACGAAATTTCAGACAAAAAGGCGATTTAATGAATATTTTCTTAAACTTTTTAAAAATTAATAATATTCGACATACATGAATAAAAAATAATACGAATATGGATAGGCCACTCCACTCCCATATTCTTACACTTGGGACCTCGTACCGAGAGAAGCGTTTAAGTAAGGATATGCATCATGCGAATTTATCGCCAGCGACTTTTCATAGTAGGATAATTTGTAGCGCAATGTCGAATTCTAAAACCAAACAGTTATTAAACAAATTATTATAGTGATAAATATTACAATTGAAATTTTGCTAATAAAACTTATTTGAACGCGGCCTCGGCATTTATTTTTAAAATGAACGCATCTCCATATTGTCATTTATACTCCATTTTTTTTAAATGGTACAGAAAACCTTCATCAACTAATATATTTAATCCCCTTTCACTTTTAATATATTTTAAAGACATTTTAAAATTTTAGCTGCTAGGTAACTGTTAGATGTAGTACTATTGTACAGTGTTATACCGACTGAGCAACTGAGCGTAATATAGTATAACATAATAGTCTCATTATCTCTAATATTATTTCAGATAATTATATTTAGTTTACACAAATATATTTTATCGGTTTTCGTTTTACTAGATTTATTCGATATGACGCTACCGTCATAGTATGACAAATTGTCATATTATGAAAAGTCACTCGCGATCAATTTACACCCTATAAATTGACCGCAATGAACTGTCACGTTATCAATTATCCGCTATCTAATGATGGGACATCGTTTAAGTAGAGATACTTAAGATCATGGTATCATTAAATATTTGGCCAATATAATATATATGATAAAAAAAAAAAAAAAAAAACGAAAACTATAATATGTGATCGTATTATAAACACTGAAGACATCAGCTATATTACCTACCTATACAAATAAATTGAACCTTCTCTTCTCCTCAAATACACCACTGCTGTGTTAACGCAACTGCATTTACAATTTTAAATTCTAGTATCATATTTCGTTCTGTGAATAACAAAATATAATTGTTACATATGTATAACCTGTCCGGCTAGAAAAAATCTCATTTTCAAATCCTTATGTTCGAAATCGTCAATAAAAATGTACGGGCTGTCCATATTTTTAATATCTATGATAAGGGAGGGACGCCGAGTATTGGAGTTTAAAAAATATAATAATATATTGGATATATTATGCGGTTGAGTTGGTTTTAATAAATGTAGCACAAAAGTCAATACGATTAACCGATATATATATGCCTTAAAATATATATAAAAAAAAGTGGGTAATAAAATCGTGTGAAATTCAAAACGATAACGAGAAAATGTCATTAGTAATCGCACGGGCTACGTGACGATGAGGAAGTGAAAATTACACGGTGGTAATAATAGTACCTATACTTCGAAATGAACAAAATACCGTATCGCAATAAAACGGAAAAAATAAATGGTTTTGGTCGCCAAAAATACAGAGATGAGATTATTATCCTTTTGAAAAAAAGAGAGCCGTAAAACCGATCGGTTCTCATTGCACCTCGGAAAAAAAAAACAAAATAGAAATAAAAATAAGTCTTCGAAACTTTGTCCATTTAAACATTTTATTGCAATACGCCATAAAAATGTCGACGCATAACCTTGACAAGATTTAAAGACCCTTGACATATATAATAAAATAATATGACGTTATGAAATTATTCTCCATACTGCAGGGATGTAGAAGATACTTTAAAATAAGTAATAATAACTCGATACATTGATTTTCTACGAGTCTATCTAGTATCTAGAATTCTAAATACAAAATAATATATGCTAGACGCTTATATTGAAATATAAGATATACATAATGCTGCTTACATTGTATATATTTAAATTTTGAATACTACCTAGATGTTCAATACATTGAAGTTGATTTTTTCACGTAAATAAATGACAGTGGTACATTTATTTGACATATTTTTCAAGATTCACAACAATTCCTTCTATTTTTGTGCAGACACAATCCATTTTTAAATGTATTTTTGAAAATTCAGGAAAGAAAATAACCGAACTCACCTTCTCCCATTTAGGCGCCTATAGGCTAATTACTTTAAAATGAGCACATTTAGAAATTCGATATTTTATAGTATTTTATCTAAGATACAAGAGGCAAGATACAATTGCATCTATACGATACTTAAATCAAATATATTATCTAACCTTGTGCATACATGTTATACAAGTTTCTATAAGTTATATAAGAACCTACTGTAATATTATAATTTATTTTTTTTCAACTCAACATTTGCAATGGGGCCAAAAATCACAAAGTGACGATCTTATTGACGGACGTATAAAATATAGTACGAAAGTTTATTACTATTATAATATAAAATTATCATTGCATTATGATAATATAAACTTTTAATTTTTTTTTTCTGAAAATCCCTCGAGGATCGGACTTTAAAAAACTCTCGTAGTCGATATACCAATAAATAATATCAAGGAATTTAAAAATGATAATACAAGATTCATTCTCGAAATAGTTTTTTTATAATTGTTTGCCCTATAAACTTAGTAACATCATAACTTACAACGCACACATATATTATATAAGTTGACCTATTTTCATATTACTCAATGAAAATATAATATTTGAGCACTAATAAACGCAGATTACTTATATACAGATTAAATAAGTACTTTCGACAAATATGTACTTTTCATAAACAATACTTATTTTATACCAACTTAGGTTAATTTTTCAAACTTTATATGAGAATCGCTAAAAGTATTTATTTTAATACTCGATAAACATCAACAAATACAAACTCTCGGAAAAGTGTTTGCATATAAATCGTAATTTTATAATATTGTGTAACGTATAATATAGAACCTATATTAACCTATATTATAGGTACTCATACATTTTTTTTATTTTTTTTCTCTAATAAAATAAAATTCAAAATCTAGACATATTATTCCCTGTACCATGGAAAAACTGAGGAAGTTAACCAAATTTCGGTCTCTAGTTTAAAAAAATAAATTATCCTATAATAAAATTAAAATCACTATGTAATATCAAAGTTAATTTTAAAATATAAATGGCTGAGTAAATAAGTATAATCACATGTATTCAAAATAAAAAATAACTTAATTTAAAAGTAATTTATTTAAAATTGCCTTTAGCTACACACATACACGTATTTTGTACGGTAATATTTATTTACGATTCATTTAATATTCACGATTCGTATAGCAATCGCATAGGCTCGATGCTCATTTTATTATGTGATAGTGATGTTTATTTATTATTTTAGTACACAATTTCGATTTAAAAAAAAACAATAAAAAAAAAAAAACAAATGTACACAGTTTTTAATACAATAAATCATAAATAACTTTTTAGAACAAACTTAAACTTTAACAAAGAAGTTAAGTTTAAATTATTTATTAAAAGTAACAACTAAGCATATTAATATCTGAAATTTTTTTTTTTAGTTCAACTATATACAGGACTAATTAGTAATTAATAATTGACTGTGCCTATATTTTTTTTTACTGAACTTTAACAAATTATTAAAAACCACGAATTTAATGAAAAAAAAGTTGAAACGTCAAAATTTTCTGAATAATAACAAATTGCTATCTTCAAATTTATCAAAAAGTTTTTTTTTTTAGATTTTTCACCAAAAATTAAATATATCCTTCAAATACAATAATATCTATAGTCCTTATCCCTCGAGTGCTATAAAAAAACAGAATTCATAACTTTTTAACTATTAAAATCTTTTACGAGGTATAGGCCACTGTTGGTGAACATATGAAAAAGTAGATTTGACCATATTTCGTCCGGTAAATAGTGCTAATAAAAATCAAATAAACAGACAACCGAAGCCCGTTAAACTGGGTTAACTTACACATTTGTTTGCACAAATAATGCGAATTTAGACAAATCAGTAAAATATAGTATCACAAAGCAAAATTCTGCATTTTTTTAAATACGATATGAATATTTCGGTATATTTTCACGAAACAAACGTTGGTTTAACGACAAAATAACCAAAATATTTTCTTCACTTTTCACTAACCCACTCGGAATCCAAAATAGTAAATTATACTAGAATATCGCTACAGTTGAACGGTATTATTTTCAGTGAATCTGATAGTTTTTTTTTTTTTTAAACAAAAATAATTATCATTATCGTTTATGGACAAAAAAAAAAAAAATCCTAAAAATGGAAAAAACAATTTTACATTTTCATCTGGTGGCGGCCGAATGATATAGTGAAATGCCGTCGTTACATTAAACCGGTGCCCACGATGAGACCGTGCCGCGTTAGAAAATGAGTGGCCGGGCCACCCGGAACACTGTATACGCATTATTATAGATACAGATACAATCGCTCGGTAGTCGTTAAGAGCTAAAAATATTCCCGAGTCGTGTACGTGACCGATTCCGGCGAACGATATTATCTCTTCGGGTTTGGTCACAGGGCGTTTTCCGATAAGATCTCAACGAATCCCCGCCGCAATAATAATATACTTTCGTCGTCTTTTTACGTCATCGTCGCAGTATAAACCTAACCTTTAATGCGTAAACGTATATTATCACTGTGGTGAAGTATTGTCTATTGTAGTTTTCAATGAATGAATGAGTTTATTATTGATTATCTGTATGATAGCAAATTCAAACTGTTAAATATAACAGTAGATAATGTGGACATTGAATAAAAAAAAAGAAATGAAAACGTTTAAAAAAACAATCATGAAATCAACAGAAATTATAGTACTGAGGCGTGGTCCTGTGATGTGACCGGATTGGATAGGATAAGAATAATAGATGGTCTAGGAGTGATGGGTAAAGCAGGAAAAATCAGTGAAAATAAATTGAGACAGTTATAATAGACAGAGATAATGAAAAACAATGCTAGCTGATAGTCGAAATAAGATACGATAAGGTGAGGTGAGACTCAAAGAAAAAGTGACTAGAGGTTATTGGAAAAAATGTAAAGATAATATGAGATCGTGTGATGTGGGGTATTGCCGATAGGGAGAGATGTGAACGATAAGAACAAAAGTAGCGGGCCTTCACCTACGTAGAATAAAGAAGAATTTTAATTGTAATGATTTCAAATTCGATTAGAATAGTTCGGACAAAGTATAATAAATAATGAAATAAACAATTTTCGCAACTCAAAAACGCACGTTTGATTGTGGCCGTAGGCTCACAATTAATTCTCCTATCTAGTACAGATATTTAATACGGTTGTTTCACTCGGAATAAGCGAAAACTAACAGGTTTGAACGTGAACGTAAGATAAATAGCCCGGGAACGATTATAAATGAATCGCGTAGTCAAAATACGAACAACGTTTGCGGATTTACCAAGGAATATTTACGCTCATAATACGCCTTGAATCGATAAATTTATATCACGCGAGCGTGATAGTTATTCAGTCATGATGACTCGTGAATCATAACGGATCGACCGAGGCGCGGCTTTTAATATTCGAGCCGTATAGATCACCGGTGCTTTTGTCCACTCACGTATTTCGGAATCACGCTGAAAAAAACCATACAAAATATTTCACCGCCATGAAAAATACTGCGATCGTCGACTTTCTCTCCCGCACGCATTAAACATACGCCATACACCATACGTTTGTGTGCCCTATGCGCCGCGCCTTAAAACGATCGTCGTCCTAGTCTATTCGTTGTTATCGTATGTCAACGGTTTTAAACATTTGTCTTTATTTTAGCCGATTCGTCGAAACTACACGCCCCCGAAACCATATTATCGTGATGCCCATCCGGCGCTGTAATTGGCACGCGCGTCGAAAACCGTTTTTCGCCGTTTTCTTCTACGTTATTACTATTATCACCATCAAACATCATTATCATCGCGGTTATTACCGTATCACACCGGGCCCGGGTTTCGGAGCTAATTAAATACGACACCGCCGCGCCGTCCGATTACGACCGCGGCGTATTTAATGCGGTTACTGCGGTTACGTACCTATTATTTACTTCGGTATACTTAACATCGTTATTATCATTCTCACGACAATAAGGCGGATTCCGGTCGATCGTACATTATCGCGTGTTCGGCAGCAACACGCAGGCCAACCGTTTGCGTCTGTAAATCAACGTCGTCGTCCCCCGCACTCGCCGTAGGGATCGCATTAGGCGGGAGGCGGTTTTCAAATGAATACATATACACGCACACTGCAATAACGACACGAACCCGTAAACACCGCGGATCTGGTGTGTTTGTCTACCAGTGCGGTACCGGTTCGTGTATTTATTTGATATTCGATTCATGTACGTCGGCGTTAAGCGACAACAATCCAAGCACGGTCACTGGTCAGCAATATATTATACATAAATATTTTTTTTTTTTTTTTCAACGACAAATTACACATATAAAAATTCCAATTATGTCACATACACATCTTTCTGATTTCAAAAAAAATTAATGTTATTACAACAGGTCGATGTGATTGAAAAGTCCACCGGATCTTTGGCATTTACGGGCTCGTCAATAATGACCGGTAGGTACCCTCCACGGCAGCAGTGCCTACGCCACCAGAAGCATAATATTAACACAATGTGCATAGTCTCGGTTAGGTATTCGATACTCGGTTAGGTACCTGTATTCGAATGTACTGATCTCGTTGGCTGGTTTGAGGACATTAACTATTTTAAATACGTAGGCATCAACCATGCGGTGATAGTGTCCTGGTAGGCAAGTACGGCGTCTATGCATTCCAAGAGTTCGGCTTCGAATTCGACAACCGGACAATCAATTTGCGCGTTTTTCCTTTTATTATCCGCCCAACGTGGTTTTATACAACAAATCGGAGTTTATTTTCGATTAAGCTCGCGAAGCAATAGAATGGAGACGGCCGAAGGCCGCATGAGACGAACCAATATTATACTACCGCTATTATAATGATAACATGCTATTTCAATAAACTATTTTGTATCGGCAAGTCGGAGTTCGTAGTTTAACTGCGCTGTTCAAACTAGCCAATGATAACAACGTAGTGCCGAGGTCGTATACGTGTTAGTAATATGCTCGCTATAACGAGGATTCCCCCGTTATCCAATTAAAACATCCGCGATTATTGCTTGGTAAGTATTATTTATATTGCTTTTTTTTCCCAGCCACCGTTTTATGATAATAGGATAAAGGGTAGGATGTATATAGTTATAGTCAGGTTAGGTAGGTACAGTATATAGGTACACGAATTAGCTGTAGACGTCGACGGTGGCGGGTAAAAACCAAATAAAAAGGAAATCGAGTTGAATATAAAAAAATATTTATCATCGCCCTAGTAAAAGCATCCCCGACGGGATGGGCGAGAACGACCCCCACAGCGTCACCGTCATTGTGCGTTTAATTAGAGATTAATACAATTTACGTGAGGCTTTTTATTTTTTTTCCTTTTTTCATAATATTATACTTTTTTTTTATTATTTATTATTATTCGAATAAACCGGCGCGAGCGATATTATAATATTATTATAAGCGATATTTTTTTTTATTTTTTTTTTTTTTTTAATACGACATATATATATATATATATATATATATATACCTCAGTTCGATATTATTTTTTCTATTTTTTTCGCACATAATACCTATATACTGAACTATATTTTGTTTATTAATAAAAAAAAATCTATATACGAGTACATATATATATATATATATATATAAATACATAAGTATACGCTGCGTTTGTTCAATGAAAGTATTTTTATCCTCGACATTTTTTATGCCGCATAAAACTTAGGTACCTGCAATACAGAACTAATATTATGCTTGCTATCGTATACACGACATGCTGCAGTGTATAAATGCAGTGTTCAAGTTCGGTGAATGGTTTAAAAAAAAAAAGTAATAATAATTTTTTCCTCACAATTCTTGCATCATAGTCATTTGCAGATATTAACGTTAGTTTTTTATTTTTTTCTCGGATAGAATTTATATATATACTTACGAACCAGTATAAAGAACAACGCTATGGACATGTTTTCTGCCATAATGAAACCGAGTAGCATTTTATAATAGCCATCATTTTTGCAACGTGCGCATTAATCGAAACTAGCTTCACCAGATTTTCAGCGTAATAATACATTATTTCTGTTTTCCCGAGTCGTAGGCATTTAAATTAATTATTATGTCGCTGTTAAGAGGCGATATTATTGAACATAAAACCCTCGTGTCGAAAAACTGTTTATTTATCTTGAAACGAGTACGATTTAGCGTACAAAAACAGACCACAGTGAATATTATTATAGAACTAGGATTAAGATTAAATAGGATTTTTGTGTTATTTACAGGCACTTTATATTTTCGAATTTTTTTTGAGTTTTATTTGGTAGATACCACGTGGATAAAATTGTTTAACCAAACAGAAATGCTTGACAAAATTTAACACGAAGTTTATTATAAGGTGTACTTGGTGATAAAACAAAATTTTTCTATCAGAGTTTCTATAAGTGAATTAAATTTTAACAAAAGTCATAAAAATTAAGTTATTTCATTATAATATGTATAATCGAACTTTGCTCAGAATCGTTGTTCGTTAGTAATGATTTATCATTGCTTACAGATATAAATTTAATCATTTTGGGTATCCTACCTTCCCAACTTCTTATTTACATCAGTGGCGTACCCATCAGCAGTATCAGCTCTTTTTTTAAAATTTAGATTACAATAGGAATTTAAATATTTTTTAATTGGTCCAAAATCGATTTTTTTTTCTCCAAAAATAGTGGACCAAACGCAACCCCTTATTTTTGGGACTATATTAAAGGTATACGTGTATTGTTTATAATTATTTAACTATGTGTATATAATTTATAATAAGTATTCAATAAAATAAATGCAACTTTAACTAGAATATTGTTAAGGGAAGTTTAGGTTGGAAAGTATACGTGCACACGTATCCATTCGAATACAGATAACAAAATTGATAAATTTTCAGAGTTACTGTTAAAAATAGTAGTGTACATCACGTAAAAAGTAGAATTTAATCTTACTTCGAGGTAACTCTGGTGTTTGTCCGGTAAGACGCCAAATTTGTCGGTTAATCCGCAATATAAGTTTTTGCACTGACTAAATCAATGTCAAACAACCATATAGCACGTATCTATACGTCGCAATCGAAATCTTGGTTTCACGAATATTATTAAATAATCGACTACCTATATATTATTATCAAAGTGCGCGAGAACTCAATTTAAAGGAGTGTAAGTTATAATGTTATAATATAATTATCCGAACCCGAACAATTTGGATTTATATTATTCAAATTTTATCGGTTTTAGTATATATGTGAACCCTCCGTAGTGTGGGTGTATTATAGCTATACCTAAAATGTTAACTTTGAAACAATCGCCTCCGCCGCCATTATTATCTTTAGCGATTCACTATCCGGGTAAATTGAATACTTTTCCGAATAGTTTACCGAACGACCTATCGAACTAATATAATAATATTATGTAAAAGTTTGAATAATAACCATCGCGACGAGTAGGTAACTAAACCCGATAAAATACAATAATGTTATTATTAATATATTACAATACGGTTACTGAAACAAAACACATTGATTTTTTTCAAAAATTCTTAAGGGGATTTGATACCGATATTTTTTTTCTTTGGAATACATAATATATGTACGCAGTTTTAGTGATTTAGACCAATTTTTTATCAATCAAACTGATTGATGCAGTGAAGCTATTAGAATTCTAAAAAAAAAAACAAATTTTAACTAAATGTGAACTGTATACAAGATCAAACAGGTTATTTTTTTAAAATTAAATTAAACTTTTTATTACATATTTTTCTAAATTTCTAAATTTTTAGAAATTAAGAATTGAAATTTGAAAAAATTGGGGTAGCCGTGTAATCTTCACGTTGAATTTATATCAGTTTTCAAAATTCTTATTGCTTCAATACATCGATCGAACTACCTAACGGATAAACAACTGGTCTAAATTGATATACTATGTATGTGTATAACAAAGAAAGATAAGGGAATCTCTGTTCCAGTACGAATTTCTTTTACACAGTTGAAAGCGATTCGTTTTTTCACATATTTAGACCAAAAGCTAGAGTGAAATTAACGTAATTCTAGTAATTAAATATTTTTTTTTGGAAAAATTTTTTGACTTTGTAGATTTTTTTCTATGTTTCATAGGACGAATATTATTAATATTTATTAATTTCTTTTCTTGCACGCGTATTATTATAGGTACCTAAGGCTTCAATTATATTTTAAGAAAAAAATAAAACAAGTTCATTGTCTACTTACTTAAATTAAATTAACAAAATAAAAACGAACCAAAGTTTCCTACAAAACATAAACAAGAGAAATCAAAGAATTCAAATATTTTTTCAAAATTACAATTTATTGAGTGTTGGTGAATAAATTCTACTCCAGACCATTAGTCTGAAACGTCATATTAACAGTCAAAACAGTCTTACATATTCCTCTTAAACAATGAAAAAAAAAAGAGCTGATACTGAGGACGGGTGCAGCCACTGTTGTAGGTGAGAAGTTGGAAAGATAGAATACATGAGGTTATTTTATTTATATCTGTAAGTAACGATAAACCATTGCTTGACGAAAGACGATTCCGAGCGCAGTTCGGTAATACATAATTTGAAATTCCATAATTTTTTTTTGCGATTTTTATTTCAATTTGATTTCAAAACGCTTATTCAAAAAAAAAAAACTTCGTCCGATGATTTTGGAAATTTGACCACGTCTACGTAAGTTCAATATTATTTGTTAATACCAAGTTGCGAGTGTTTACTTATATTTATAACCGAACTACAATAAAAAAACTCCCAAAAATTAAAATTCCTTAAAACCTCAATAGTGGCTCAAAAGTTTTGACGATGATAGCGTAAGAAAGTAAATTAAAAAGGCAACACAAAAAGATATCTTGTGATTTTTCGATTAAATCATTTTTTTTAAATAAATAAACAACGTTGTAAAACCAATATTTCCCTCACTACGATCGGAATCTAAAATACTATGTAGTAGTACATATAAAAGTACTATATTCATTGGACAGTAAATTATTTAGTGAATACTAATAAAAAGTCGTATTATTTAAAGGTAAAAATAATTTTACAAAATTTGAAAAACCTTTTCCAACTCCCTTAAAAAGACGCTCATTATTTTTTATCGTCTCTGTTATATAAACGCGCGGCATATTATAAAGTTTGTATTCAACAAAACCAAATGTATGGTGTTATTGTTTTAATAAAACAGAGAGTTGACTATTATCAAACTTAATGGTAAGAATATTGTCTGTGTTGTTATTAATGTATTAAAGTATTATACTAAGAATAAAAAACAAATGTACAAAGACGCAGATAATTTTCGAATTGCTCTGTTATCAAATTCGATAACAGGGCAATTCGTTCTGATAATAAAATAGAAAACAGCCAGCGCAAAATCGATTCTGTCGTACCCGAATTTGATACGCCGACACACGTCTGTGGGACGCGTAGACGTGTGTCGTCCTCTAAACTAATCTACGGTAGGTATAATATAATCTTTATCTTCAAATAGCAAACGTGTTATTCATTCGTTTCTCAGACGATTCTTTTTTTTATTATTCCCCAATAATAACGGTTGTTTTTGCGTTTTTTTTGTTAACTGCGTATTTGTAATACTATGGTGCGGAGCGGATATATACGCATAGAAATAATTGTCTATGTACTTTGTTTTAACGACTATAGATAAAAACGATAAAAAATCGCATTATACCTGTATATATATATATATATATATATACGTATTATATAACGCGCTGTATATTTTTAGGCCAAATTGTTGTGTATAATCTTCCCGTAAAAGCGTGTGGTTGTTAGTTTCAAACCGATAAAACCGCGTGCTATAACGCCATGATACTAATTATCGTGGAAAATATCCATAAAAAAAAAAATCTTCCATGGCGTGTTTAATGTTTCACTATGTTTCGGTTTTATTAAAATTATTATTATTATTTTTTTTTTTTTTATGAATATATATTATTATAATACAGCGTGGGGCATAATAATTAACAGGCACTACGTGGTTTTTCGCCCAACCTACATTCCCATCCCACCCCCAATCGTTAATTAACATTTTTCATCTACGGGGAATATGAAAAAGTTTTCGGGAAAAATATTTACTACGAAACTTGTTTGAATAATAATATTATGTTCGTGTACCTGCGTAAAAAAAAAAAATAATAATAATAAAGCGTACCTATGGCAGTATTGAAAAATCGGTCTTTCGTTTATTTTTCGGATTAATTAAACAGTTTGGCGAAATAATGTGCATAATATTATTATTTTATTTATTTGTAAATAAATAAATAATAATAACATACGCGATAAACAGCTAAAACGATATTAACGATATTATTTTCCATTCCGAAGACTATAATAAATAATTTCTAATAAAGAAAATTGCACGGCTTTCGTTATCATTTTAACCGTGTATCGGAATATATAAATTTATTTCAGTAGGTAGTGGCAATTATTATTTATAATGCGATTAAAAACATTAAAAATTCCAAATTCTCTCATATGCCGCAACAATGTGTATCTCAATTTTTGTAGTTTAACAGTACGTTCAAAAGACGTTACTTAAACTGTTTAATCACATTTAGTTAAACATCGGTACCTAACGTTAGTTAACATTGTATATCGCACTAATTATATATTATTTAAAATGTGTTATTTCTCCGCAATGCAACTATTGTCACGTACTATTGGCTTAAATACTTTATGTTGATGTAAGGTTTTGATAAAGTAGCGTGATAATTTTCGTGATTTAAAGAATATCCACAACAAAAAGAAAAACAATATAGAACAAAAAAATATCCGAAACCGATTCTGTAATAATTATAATATCGGTATTATTTCTATTACCGATTTGGTAATGTCTACGAGATACGTGCTGTTGAAATATTCGCGACTGTATAGAATCTCACGAAATAAAATAAAATAAATAAATAAAACATCGACGAAATCAAGAGCTTCGCGAATAATAATTATGATAACAATACATTCGTGCGTTTACGTTTACCAAAACAATATAAATTTGGTCAACTGATTGCGGCCGAAAATTGGAACGCGAAAAATATAGGCAGGTACCCTCGCCACAATAAATAAATTGCGTCCGGACAAAACAATTTTCAATTTTGTCGACTACAAAATTGTTTCGAACACACAACTCTACGACTGCGAAGACCGAAAAAATGTATATAACTTTCATAACGGGTATTATTTATAATTTAATAAATTTATTTGTTTTTATTTTAACGTTTAATTGTAAACTTTTATACCTACTATAATACTACCTATAGACGTATACAGTATAGACATCCGTTCGAAATATTATATAGCAGTACGGTCAAACTTTGAGCACGCAAAACGTCCGCGATAAGAAACTTCGCCAAAATCGGTTTGGCTATTATTTATCCGTTTGAAACTATTTTGTATTATTATTATTATTATTATAGAAGATTTAGAACATTAGATATTATTATAGTTATTATACTATTATTTTGGTGAATAAATCCCCGACCTCCTCATCCCCTCTTAACCATCTTCTCGTCACCTGCGATTATACCTAATAACTATTATAAGTATGTACACTAGTAAAGACTAGGAACCTATCGCACCTAGGTCACTGAAGATTTCGTACCGTTTTGAAAAAAATATTATCAGCGGTCGGAATAGTACCGCACAATTTGTAGTGACGTTACAGTAGCGCGTTATTTATTATTATTATATTTTTTTCGGTAGCAATTCACATAATGTTGCAACCAGAAATACAATGTACTGATATAACAATTTATATCACGCTGTAATGGACGGCTAGCAAAACTTGGAAAATCATTTCACGGTGCAACCGTATAAAAATAAAATATGTGCAATTACATATTGCTAAAAGTAATAGATCTGTACAATAATATTAATTATTGTCGTGATCGTTATCCCATCATATTGTTATTATTTAAACTGAAGCTACTATTTTACTATTTTTATGTAATAGAAATTGCGGCTTCACACCATTTAAATTATGAGTTTACATACTAAACTAATTTCATTAGTCGGGTCATAATCTTCGATAAAAAAAGTATTAATATATTATTATACGTACTTAATTTGTATACATATCATAATAATATTGTAGGGAGTTGCCTCATATGGGCAACGTACATTTTTAATAGTACTGAAAACATAGATATATAAATAGATGAATTGTACTTTTATTACCTCCAGCTTGTGGTTTTCACTGACAATGTTGTGTGAGAGAGAACGATATACCGGAGGACAATATTGGAATAATAATGCATAAACATTGTTCTGACCATGCGACGACAGTGATAGTGAAAGTAAACTATCATATTATGTTATCATGATGACAACTATCAACGATTAACTATTATCATGTAACCGCAGCTTAACAAACATGATAATCGCGACTGCAAATTATTAATTTCATATAATTGACAAAGTCGCACGCCACGAAAGAAAGAAAAAAAAATATCAGTACATTACGGATGTTTTGTATATTGTCTTTGTGCTCCTCACAAAGGTCGTACTGCTTATGTGTATATGTACTAGCTCATTCGCAAATTTTGCTAAATCGTGTTGTAGCCGTTTTTACGCATCTCATAATGTCATTGTCATACAAGTAGTTTATGTACTTATTATATTGTTATAAGATTTATGGTTTCAACAGTATTAAAAAAACAAGAAAAAAAAGACAGGTAAACATTGAGATATTATAAAAAAAAAATCCAATATCATGGAAATTAAATGGTTAAGTTATATGTTAAATTATATCTGTGGTCGTCGGTCTTTTTATGCACGTGGGTGAAAAATATTTCTATGATGGGAATATTTCAATCATGGACGGAATATCTCCATGGACTATTAGGCAGGTGACAGAAGAATAAACTAAAGGTCCCTATTGGCTATTACAAGTGTGTTTAATTGTACTTGTAATCGGTATATTAAAATCTACACGCATTCACTAATAAATTATATTTAATTAAATAAATTATCGTATTAATTTATTTGGTGATATCAGTTATTACAAAAAAATAGATAGCGTAAGATAAAAAAAAATTAAAAGTTAAACGTTAGTCCCAAAGAACGGGAAACTGCAATTTTAAAATGTTAATACTAAATTTCCATTCCATAATGTTCTTAAGACTGTGATATTCAAACTAAGTTTACCGGTTAACCTATGTATTTATGGTTCTTTTTATTGATTTTTTCTTTCAATAATTATTGATTAAATCAGATATAAATAGAGAAAAAATTCTCAAGATAACTATAGTTGGTGACTCCACTCTATATGTTTTTTAATTTTTTTAAACATTGTCTGTATCTTTTTAACAATTTCGTTTTACAAGGACCATATAAACATAATACGGGGAACTGGCAGTACTTTCTTTATAGGCCTATGTTTGATACTGAACTAAATAATAATAAAAAATAATAATAGTGTTGATACGAGTGCTACTAGCTATTTATCGCATAAAATATTAAAATGGCATTGTGCCGAAGGACCGCGAGCTGTTTCGGGGACGGTAACAGTATAATAATAATCAAATGACGCGTATAACGTGTGCATTTACACAAATATTGTAATATATTTTACATAATGTACGAAATACGAATACAAGAGGGAAAGAGATAGAGAGAGAGACGACACGGACTCGCGGAAATGAAAAACTGCTTGTGCACGCATAATAATAATATTTTTTTATACTTATAATACACGCGTATATTATTACTATTATTATTATTATTATTGTTATTATTATTATTATTGCTGGTGCGGTTACAAAAACGTTCGCGTGGGCGCAGGTGCAGTTGGAAAACATTTTGGCTCGGTTTTTCGCCGTCGTCGTCGAAGCATTATTAACATATTCATGTCGTTGTGCCTTAACCCGACTTCCGCTTTGTCTGTACTGCTGCAGAGGGAGGGCAGTAGACTGCGGGCCAGGGCCACTGATTTACTGTCACGGACTATATACCGAAAGTCCGTGGAGAAAGAGGATACCGGTAAACCTTGTCGTCGCGTATATCTAAAGGACGCCCGTATACAGGTCCGATAATCAAATGTTTACGAACTCGCACTTCCGGAGCCGGTCGGCCAGTTGTGTTCGGGGCTTGGAACGTTTTTTTTTTTTTTTTTAATACTTTCTCGCGCGCGTATTCTTTCCTATATTATTTTATTCCCTAACGTACACGTACTACACACGCTCGAGGATATTATTACACCGATGTTATAACGTATACTATAATTTAGTGTATCCATGTGTACGGGACGCGGAAATCTGAAACTTCGAACGTATAGCTGGCTAATAGATTGGAAACTCACTGAAAAAAATCGAAATTATACTTGGGATAGTTAAATTTTGATTTCTTTCAGCTGTCTAGCATACACAAGAAAAAAAACGAATTAAATTATCTATGTAGAGTTAAAAACACAATAAATACTCTAACATCTACATAATAATTTATATGCTCTCCATAAACCAAACTAAAAGCTCCCCGAGAAGAATACCACGGGAAACTAATGTACTTCAGTATCCTCCGAAAATCGGAGTGTGAGGTAATAGGAGATACAAGAAACTTAGATGGGACTCGTTTCGCCCTAACTAGACTTTTTCCGTTGCACTCAAATACCCGTTTTGCTAAAACACATTTTAGTTTATTTAAAATTATGTTGGTAATCGTTTAGAATAACGGTTGAAACACATAGAAAATTATTTGAAAATGTATTATTTTATAAGGACTTATTGCGTTGAAATTCCTCAAAAAACAAAAACAAAAACCGAAAGATATACAAGAATATAATGAAAAACTTATAATTTTATATAGATTTTTATAAAATAATTAGGTATGAGTTTATAAAACGCATAAGTAGACATTTTAAAAATAATGATTTGTATTTTATTATGATTAAAATCATTTTCTATATGTTTCAACTATTATTGTTTTAGCGAAATGGCAAAGTTCGAATTTGGGTGAAACGTGTCACGCCCTTCACATATTTAATTGTAATTCACATATTTTTGGCCGGAATATCATTTCTATAAAAAAATCTCTAAAAAGTTCTCCATATAACCTTATTACCAGTGTGTCGAAAAAGATAACCAATATTTTCAGCTAAATGATAGATAAGATAATGACTAAACATTTATCTAAAATAAAGATAGAGATAATTATCAGTTATGAGAATTATATGGAAAATAAATTAGTATAATATAAAAACAATTTTAAGGAATAACGGTATATTTTACTATAGTTGGAATCTACTTATTAGTTACGCATTTACTTTTATCACATAAGGATACGATATTTTATTATTAAATAGCTCAAAGATGAAACACCGTTATTTATACGTTTTATTTTTACATAGTTTTTTATCTAGATAATAATCACAAAACTGTTCATAAGACTTATAATCAGTTCTACAGAAGAAATTACCGTTTTCTCTCCAAAGATTTTTACTCGAATAAAATTTACTCGCAATTATTCGGAATTAAACCTATATAAGGCCTTTTTTTTAAAAAAAATCGTGGTAACGAAATGAGGTGTAAAAATGATTTTGTCGCCCCGATAACCCGAGCTAGGGAAAACACGGGCAACGCCGCCGGCCGATGACAAGCTCGTATATAAATGACGGGCGCATGGGAAGAAGGGCAGTAGACAGTGTATAGTGTTCGCATAGTCCATTTCGGAAATCCGTTCGGCAAAGCATTACGCCCGTCCAACAGCTGCCGGGCCTACATTATTTTTAACAAGTATATGCGATATTTTACCCTTTCGACGTTGTCCGTCCGGGAACAGCGGCCTTTTTTTTTTCACCGAGCGAAACGCGCGTCGGCGCCCGATAAAAATATAACGACGACAACAACAACAACAATGTACACGCTCCTCGAATATACCGCGTGTACGACCGAACGGCGCCGCCGTCTCGAAATCGAAATGAACGGACGGCTACCTGCCGTACCCGCGCGGCCCCTCCGAACATAATAATGTCGTCATCAATCTCGCGGATGAGCGCGGGCCTCGCGCCCGCCCGCCCGCTCGCGATATCTTAACGCGGCGATATCGCGAGCGTTTCACACGTGGGCGGGCGGGCGCGCGACTGCACGGGAACGAACGCGTGTTCGGGTGCGCGACAACAATACGCTCGAAACCGCGGCCCAGACGCACTTGTCAGACGGCCGGCGCGTACGCGTTCCGCGGCGGCGGCGGCGGCGGCGGCCCGGGGTTTACGCACAATGCACAATATTATACACTCGTGTAATACGCGTGACGTTTATTAATTATTGCGTGTACGCGTTTCCTGTATACGCGCGGACGTGATGAATACCGGGCGCGCGCGCGTGTGTACAGCGCGGTAACAGATGTACGCTCGGGCCGAGCGCGCGCGCGCGCGCGTTCGATAAATCAATTCCGTTAAAACGCTCGCGTCCGCTAAAAATAAAAACGGCGGAAACGTAAATCATAAACCGCGTAACGCCCGTTACGCTCCGCGGTACGTTTTAATTCCCGTTTTCCGGGCGACGAACCGGTAATATCGTAATATTTCAAAAGGTTTGTTGTATGATGGCTGTACGGTTTATCGTGTTTTTTAACGGATCGAGGCGGGCAGAGTGTGTGATTTTTTTTATTTTTTTTTTTTCCTACTCCAGGCGGATTTACGAAGCCGTGCCCGTAGCACGCTATTGGTGGGCCGCAGACGGAGACGCCTGCGGGTTGATTCACACGTACTCTAAGTGAATAAAAAACAAAATGTAATTACGCTAAAGTGACACTTTATTTATAAACGAATAGGTGCTATGCTAAAAACATGAATTTATAAAAGATGTTCTACTTGTACCGCTCGGTCGTCACAAGGCTCACAATTTACTCGACTGAGTATCGTGACCGTGGGAGCCCGTCTAATGCACACGAGTTGCGTCCTTTTAAAACGATATACACGAATTGCGTCCGAACTTGCTTATTGTTGCTTATCGACCAGACATCGGTAACGAAAGTCATCCATTATCGTAATTTATAATATTAGGCACGTAATATAATATGTCGAAACATAATATCAGACTCCATTATAATTATTGCATCGCGGGGAACCCCTGAAAACGAAATAAAAATCTACTACCTAACCAATAAAGTGGATCGCAATTCGTGTATACCTTTTTTATGGGACACAGCTAAGGTGCACCGCAATGGACGATCAGTAGGATTTATTTTAGTAAACGTGATCCTAAAGGCCCGGACAGTCCCACGGTCATGCCAGCTAAACACTGACACACATTTTCTAAGATCAGATGATCAGGATATTCCCGCGATACCTATCGTAAAAAGAAACGAACAGGGTTACGACAGATCAACAGCCGGTGTAAAATTCTGTCAGACAGTATGAAGAGTTTCTAAGAAAGACTTTGGCGGATTATATCCGATCTCCGACGTTCGTGGTAACAGCAGGCGAGAAGAAGTATCATGGTGCATGATGTTCGCAGATAATATAGCTTTAATAGAGGAACATCCGGAATATAATTGAACAATAGTCTTGAATAATTATTAAGAGTAATACTTCAACGAAGGAGATTAAGAAAAAGAAGAAATAAAATATAGTATAAGTTTGGATGAACATGGCAAAACAGCTAATAACAATAAGCGGAGACGAGAATATTAAGTGTCTAGAATCTATTGTATAAAAGAGCGGTAGCTTTGATGAGAAGATGAAACATAAGAGCAAACGTAGTTGGATAAAGCGGAGAATAGCTAGTTTATGTAACAAGAAAATTCCGGTGAGACTTAAAGATAAGTTCTACAAAAGTGTGGTTGACTGACTCTTTTGTATAATTCGGAGTGTTAGGCAGTAGACACGATTTTAGAACAAACAATTTAATTAAAAAAGATACGAGAATACTTCGCACGATGGGTGAGCTACTGTTGTATGTAAGAAATAGGGAAGGTAGGATATTATATAGAGGGTCCCGCATCCTGCGTCTTAATACCCTAAAATATATGTTTAGTATAAAACCAGATCAAATTATATAATTTCGAGAAATTTCATTTGTATCAAGTAACAGCTGGATAGCTGGAAAGGATACACGGACGAAAATATTAGAGGATACTGACGGTTGGGGCTAAGACTCTTACAAAGTTATATGAGTACATATGATGATCGTCTTAAAAATTATAAAATCTATATACGTATTCCGTATCAATATTATTGATCGTCCTCTTCCCCCCGATATGGAAATGTGAGAGTATTTTTCGCCTCCGGAGTTTCCCCCTTTTTTGCTCTTCTATTTCGGTTATCGGCAACGGTTGTTATTATAGACCTTTCAGTAGTCGGTAAACCACGAAACTGCGACATAGTACACCTATTCAGTTTGCGGTTGTCACCGCACGACAAAACATATAAATCATAAATAAAATTAAAATTGAAATAAGTACGCGATTCAGCGATGACGTTTAATTTCGTTTTTTGCCGGTGTGATGTTAGTATACGGTAAAAATAATACGCAGGCACGAGTTACTTGGCTATATAAGAAATTGTTCCGCCCCTTCAGTTACCACTCAAATATAAATAAGGTCTTTTTTTTTATCTATTCGCGGCGAAAAAAAACGCCCATTTGTTAACTAGAGATTCGCACTCGTTTTTGGCTTGTCCCGTTCGCCTACAGTAAACACCACAAAGCTCGTCTTTCTAAATCGATTTCTGCCGATCGATTACAGAGATCTAATAAACGATCGCGAAATATCCAAATTGCACACCTACCTACCTTGACGTATGCAAATCGAATTATGATATTTTTTTGTAGGATATACATTTCATCGTCCGTTTGTTGTCATGGTCTCTCACGCACCATAAACGGTTTTTTAAAAACATTTATACATAGTTCGTTGTAATTATTTATAAATCGGCGTGATCGTTGCGTACCGACGATCATATTATCATATGGAGGGCAATTTTCATTTCACCATTCAACCTATAAACAGTGTTATGTTTTATTTAGACAAGTATATTTTTATCTTTTATTTTATATCTAGATGATAAATAAGAAATAAGTTATTTGAGATGAATAATTGAAGTATCTATAGGTAATTCCTTTTAAATCTTAAATTATATCTGTAGTGCGGGGCGATCAATATTTAAGAAAAACTTATTAAAATACTAGTATGTACCTAATGTTAGGTTTTTTGAAGTAACTAAATTTAGTTTGTTTAGTTTCTAATTTTCAATTTAAAATTTGATTTTTTTTTTTTTTGCATTGACGTTTCTTGCACACAGCCACAGATTTATTTATTAAAAATTACACATTTGAAATATTTAATTTATATCAATACAACAATATGGTTATGTTACATTTACCATGTAACTTTTTTGATAATATCTAGATGTGTACCGAATTCGGTACACTTGTACTTTTGGCACTTAATATTATAATGTATCTAGATAAAAATTTGCCGATTTTATTTTTTTATCTAAAATATTACTCTAGCAATACCTATTATTTCCATCTTGGTATGTTCACATTATTTATTTGTATAATACATATACCGTTGCAGCCTAAAATAATATTCAATAATTCACGGTTATTTTTGATTTGATAAAATCAATCTTATTAAAATGGTTTTGTTTTTTTATTTGTTTTATTACTGTATATTCTCATATACATATATTTATGAAACCTCAGTGCACAATACGAGAATATTGAACTTATATAATATTACACGAGTGAAAATTATATTATCAATTTTATACGCTCAGAAAATTGCAGATCGACGAAATTGCATTTCCGAAACACATACATAGATATGACTACATAAGCAAAGTTTGCTTGCACATTTTATGATGTGTACAAACTATTATTATTCTGCAGGCTACTGACCACGAGTAACTTAAACTATGATAATACAAAACAAATAGTATAAAAATATTATATATTCAAGTCAAAACAAAAATCTCATAAAACTAAAATGTGATCGAATATTTCAATATTATAAAAAGTACTAAATATTTTCCTATAAATTCCGTAGTATACTATTACGATTATACCAAAATCAAATATATTTACGTATAGTATATTACTCGATAGTATATACTCGATTTTTAAAATAAACCACGAAAGTTTTAAGTAATTTTTGCTGCAGTATATTAAATACTTTTATATAGTATATGGCCGACGCGATGTACCCAAGGGAAAATGGCAACAACAATCTAATTAATATAAGTATATTGCTAAGAAAATATCAAGTTTATATATATCAAGTAATATCAAGTATTTTTTACGTATAATACCATTTGTATTCCCTGTATAATATGTATATTATAATGTATTCACCTATGTTGTGTATAGATACATTTTAAAATATGTAAATAAATAGTCAATAGGCAATTGACACGTATACCAATTGGTTTATCTAGATAAAGATATACAATATGGAACGATTATATATAGAACAAAAAAAGAAAATTATGTTCATTAGCTGTCATAAATCCAAGTGCTAAAAGTAATAAAAGTTTACCAGATTTGGTACGCATCTAGATTTCATCATAAATGTCGTGCGATCGAAGTGACTTTGTAATATTAATTTATTAAAACATATTAAGTTAGGTTTATACCTATTATTTCTAATAAAGTACGAATTAAAAATATTTACCCGGATGTGATAGAATATAAAAATATACCAAAATAGATCATTTATATCTAGATAAATTTATCCGGATAAAACTCAACACTGATTATTATAGGAAAACGGCGAAAGAGAAAAAAAATGGTTTCTTATCCCTTTATATATAATATATTATACATATATATTGTACACCTATTATGAAAAGT